AGATCTTTTTTCTCTCTTCACAGTCTGTTCATTTGATGCTGGAGCAGGATGGCAGGATGATTTCAAGCAGCACACAGTAAGCAGAAAGGCTTCCCCGCCCTGTAAGCCCCTGGCCATTTCACCTGGCTACTAAGCAGCCAAAATGTAGCCCACCAAAATGCTTTCCTATCATCAGTGTATTGATTCACCCTAGGCCATGACAAAATGAAGATGGTCGTGGAGCAGAAACATCATCAAGGTGCTGAAATCGAGGCCAGATGTGAGGCCCAGCCCAGAGTCTTACACAATCTGAGGATGAGGTACTCTGCTTTGTCAAGCTAGGAGGAGGCAGCAGCCCTTGGGGAGACTTTGAATTCCCTGTCTCATCTCTTCAGTTCGCTGGACCAGGAACTCATCAATTACAGGCATCTCGGAGTCCAGCACAGTTTCCAAAGTACTTCTTGTTTTTCAAGCCTCATATTCCCAGAATGGGCAAATTTCCCTTACTGGGAGGTAGGAAAAGTCAGAAAGCTCCAAGTGGAAATCTTTAGCCACCAAGGAGGAACACAAGCTGGTGGAGTCCGCGTCCCGGCAGGCGGCTGTGTGGGTGGCTTCCCAGGGCTTCCCTGCCTTGCTCCAGGGCTGCTCCTCTCTCCCAGATGCCAGGTCCTGACCTAGAGCTCCTAATCCCTGGGAATTTCCTGGTGCCTGGGTGTCAGGAAGGTCCGCTGTTGCAATGAGGTGACCCTTGGTGGGCTACTGTGGGGGAATAGGTCACAGAGAAACCAAGCCATGATCAGAAGCAGAGCTCTGAGCGCACTCCCAGTCCTCAGGGAGCAGAGACAGCTGGCAATTGAGTTAGCAATTGGCCATGCCTAGGCGCTGATGCCTCTGGGGCAAGCTCTAAAAGATGGGGTTCAGGGAGTTTCCGGGTTGCAGAATGCACCAGGGTGCTGGGAGGGTGGGGCACCCTAACTCCACAGGTGCAATCAGGACCCATCTGGACATCACCCCATGTACCTCTTTACTTGGCTAAAACATCCTTATAATTAATTGACAATGGCAAGTTAACTATTTTCCTGGGTTCTATGACTTGCTTAGCAAATTATCAAACTCATAAACAGAATAGTCGGAGTTTCTGATTTGTAGCCAAGCTGGACATAAATTATAGGTGACCTGGGACCTACGACTTGCAATTGGCACCTGACATGAGGGGCAGTCTTTGGGGGAACGGAGCCTGTGAAGTCTGTGCTAACTGTGATTAATGGCAGAATTGAATGGACTTGGATGCAGAGCAGCTATTGAAGGAGGTGTCTCTTCTTACAAGGACACTAATCGATTTGGACCTGGGCCCCACCCTCATGACCTCATTCAAATCTAATGACTCCCAAAGGCTTCTCATCTCCAATACCGTCACAATAGAGGTTAAGAATCCAAACGATGAGCTTCTTTGGGGGAGGGGGGAGCTGATTCAGTCCGTAGAAGTCAGCAAACATTGATTCAAAGACTGTTGCTAAGGCATTAAATTTTCAGCTTGGTGATTGTTACTAGATTAATTGGCACACTTTGTCACTGAAGGACAGAAGGGATTCTGTATGCAACAGTGTTTATCCATCTTTTCCTTCTCTCATTTATTTCTGAGCACTCTCCTAGGCATCTCTGAGGGGAAGGATCTGGAACTGACACACCTATGGGAAGACAGAAACAGACAGATCCAGGGCCCTGGGCATGTGTGGGCCTGGGAGGGTGGAAGGCACCTAGGAGTGTGGAGGAAGAACTGCCCAGACTAGGAGCATAGGGATGGAGTCCTGGAAGAGTGTGCTGCTCCTGAGCTGAGCCCCAAAGGATGAATGACAGTGACCCACTCAAGAAGGGTGTGCTGAAGGCTTCCTGGCAGAGGGGACAGTGTGCGCCTGTTCTGGAGATCTGGCAGGTGTCCAGGGCCACACCATGAACTTGGTCTAACCAGCGACAGAATCCAATCTAGACAGCTCTGAGCTATAGGCACTTGGGGTCACATTGTAAGGGGTGGATTTTGCCCTGAAGTTATGAGGAGTCCTGAAGGAGTTCAACCAGGGGAGTTTTCGATGAGTGTCACAAAGGGAAGGGTTAAACAGGCAGCAACAAGACAGCTGACTGGAGGGAAGGAGGGGCTGGTGATAGGGTGGGAAGTTAGCAGGCTGTTGAGTCCTAACTAGTGTGATGGGAGGGGGTGCAGTCAAAGGGGAAGACAGGAAGAAAAGGAAGGAAGGGATTTCAGAGACATAGGAGGAAGAGGTGCCGAAACTTGGATGGGGGAAAGAAGGGAAGCTCTAGCTTAAGCCCTAGGGATAGAAGGACAAAAACTAGAAAACAATGAGGGAAGGAGTGTCAGACATTTGCCTGGGGACCTAATGGCTCTGGGATCCCCAGTAGCATGCAGGGACATGTCAAGTTGATTGGATGGGCATGTAGACATAAGAAGACAAAATATGAATTCCTTATTTGTTTCTTTCTTAAACATTGCTATCATTCTCTGACCCAATCAGCAACATTCACACGGTCTCAAAGAGAACTAAAATATAATAGTAATAAAGGAGAGAGAAAATGTTGATACTTTTCTTTTTGGTACTAGAGATCGAACTCAGGACCTTGTGCTTTTGAGGCAGGCAGAGGCACCACTGAGCTAAATCCCTGGCCCAATATTTTTTTTTTAAAAAAGCTTCAAAACTAAGCCCTTAAAAGTCAAAAGGTGAGGCCCTCGGTGGGGCAGAAGTTATCATTTATATCCAAAAGGTGCTGGCGCCAATGTTCCTTCAGGCCCAATCATCCAAGAGTCAAATACAGAGGAGGCTCTTTTGTTAAGCTAAGCCATGGAACCCAGGGCTTTAAATTCAGAAAGAAATAACTGATCCAGATTAGGTGCTGTTTCCTGTGACACGTGCTGAGGGTGCAAGATTTGGAGATTAATAGTTGCATTTTGCAGGCAACAGCATTAACCTTGTGAAGTTCAGATGTTTCTGTGAACAATCCCTGGAGGTGCATTTATGGTTACACAATGTGGAATAGGACAGTTATAAGCTTTAAACAAGGGCTTTCATTTTCTCACATGCTTTTGACCTCATCTTACACCTGTGTCAATAACTTCATTTCCCTAGAGTTTCTTTTCACAAGCAATGGTTAATTAAGGAGCTTTTGGGTTCTGGCTTTAGGCAGGATCTTATTAATCAGCAAAAACAAAACATAGAGGGCTTGTAAAAATGTGAGGCATAATAAAAAATATAGAACATTACAGATATTTAAAGAAAAATGGTGAGGTATGTAACAGAAAGGGAATAGAGGGCAGTGAGATGAGATTCTATGCTTCTATGCTTAGAAGAGGGTGACTCAAAATGGGAAGGCTCTGGTGTTGGAAGGGGGTGTGTGTGTGTGTATGTGTGTGTGTGTGTGGGGGGGAATGAGTCCATTTGTTAAAAAAAGAAGTCCAAACTCAACACGTGTTCAAATCCTGGGCTCTACCAATTATTAGCTCTGTGACTTTAGCAAATTACTTAGCCTTTCTTTCCCTCAGCTTCCTTATTTCAAAAATGAGGTTTATGATAATAACTTGTGTGATGTAGTTGCTATAAGGAATTAGTATATGTAAAATGCTTAAAACAATGCTTGACACAATAGAAACTAAATAAATGTTTGCTATTTTACTGTTGTTTGATTTTGAAGAAAAAGAACCATTAGAAGAAGTGAAGACTTAGGAGAGAAAAGTGATTTGGATGACATGTGGGAGGGAAAGATTGGGCTGTGGAGCACAGTGCTCCAATCCATCACCTTGGGCAGAAGGAAAGATCTTTTCTCCTGAGGCTGTGCAGATGAGTAAAGAGGGCTATAGACGAAGATAGATTTGACTTTGAAGAGTGGAAGTTGTGCAAGAGTCTGTGAATGATCTCCATTTCCCTTTCTTTTCCTTCCTTCCTTCCTTCCTTCCTTCCTTCCTTCCTTCCTTCCTCTTTCTTTCCTCTTTTTTTCTTTTTGAGACAGGGTCTTACTATGTAGCCCAAGCTGGCCTCGATCTCACTGTGATCCTCCTGCCTTGACCTCCCAAGTGCTGGGACTACAGGTGTGCACCACCTTGCCTGACTCCCATTTCATTTTAAATAGCTGAAGAGGTGAGTAGAGGGACTTGTCACCTCTTACTGCCCCAGACACTTGTTCAGCCTCCTGACAGATCTCTTTGCTGCCTCCGTCCAGTACTGCTGTCCAACACAACACAGAACATGGAACGATCAATAAATTCTTCTTGACTGCTCTGGCAGAAGATAGGTACAAAGCCAAAAAAGTTTCTTCTCATTTAAACAAATTGCAATTCATGATTGTATATGAAGATCCATGCAGGGGCATCTGTTTCTCTTACAGACTTGTAGATAGAGTGGCCAATACACATATAAAACATTCCCCAAAATGGGCTGGGATCGTTTCTGAAACTTAGAAGTAAAATAGGTAGCAAAGTTAACTCTTGTCACCGGGAGGGCACATTGAGAAATGTGTAAATGTGTATGTGTACAAAAGCACATGAATGTGCTGTGTCAATATGTGATAAAACCGTAAAAAAACAGCAATTCATTCTTTCTAGGCCCACCTTGCACGTTGATTTTCCTCAAAGTGCTGAAAAGGACTCTCTCTCCTTTGAAAGTCTACCACGGTGTGCTCCTGTTAGGGAAGTACTCCAATTTCTCACATTCAGTGTGTGTTCCTGTGGAGGGGACGGTACATAGATTCTGTTTGTTTGTTTTTGGTACCGGGGATCGAACTCGGGTCCTTGCGCTTGCGCAGCAGGAGGCGAAAAGCACATATATTCTTTTTCACCAGAATTTGTTCCTCTGACGGGCACACTGTGGCTGTAAAATCACTCTCTCCTTTCTTGCGCTTCTCTTTCTTCCTTGCTTTGAAATAATCCCTAACTGGCTGCCAGCAGAACCAGGAAGCAGATGGGAAAGGGAAGAGAAAGCGGGACAGCGAATTGAGCGCGCATTTTGTCCTTCGCGGCCTCCCGTAGTTCAGGGCCGCCGCGCGGGGCGGGGGTGCGCGGCCTTTTCAAAGCGCGAAGCGTTTGAAGTACAACCGTTGGTGCAGGGGTGCGCGCCGCGCGTAGGCCTGGGTCAGCTGTCGTCGCTTCGCTCTTTTTCTCTAGGCTGGTGTGCGACTCTGGTAAGGGGAGCTATAAGTTTTTCTCCTCTGTTCTTAAGCTTACTTTTTATTTTAGTAAGGGGAGCTTTCAGGGCCCTGGAGGAGCGCGGCCGCGGCTCGGAATGAATCGCGGGACGGGGTGGGGTGGGGTTTTTGAGAAAAGATTCTCCCTTTCCCTGGGGCGTCGAGGAGGGGGAAGCCGTTTTCTCCTTTGAACCCTTCTCTAACGTCGCTTCTCGTTTTCTAGGCGAGGTGATTTGGCATCAGTCACCGGCGGAAGAAGGATCTGAGCCGCAGCTTCGCTTCTGTAAGCCGGGCCGGGAGGAACGGTCCCTGCAGTCCTTTGGGGAGGGGGACCCCGCTGATCATCTCCTCCCGGCTTGACCCTAATCTAAATGGGACTTTCTCTTACATTCACCTTTCTTCTATTTTGTGTTTTTTCGCATCGCCTTCCGTTTTTCTCCTATTTTATGTTTCCGTTTTAGGCTGCCACCTGTCTACACCGCAGCTTTGCCATCAGTATTTCGTTGACTCGTGGGGTGGTTTAGGGTCCAAAGCTACTGATGTCTGAGCCAGTAGATCTGTTGGTTAACTTGCTGAGTCCTGTCAACTTCTTAAGACTGTTTCTTTTTGCTGCTGTTATCTTTTACAAGAGACGGTGATCCAGGATCAGTGTGGCTGTTAACGTGAGTGTCTGTAGGGTGTATGTTCAGACTATGAGGCAGCATTTGGGTTAGTGGACAAAAGCCATTAGCTAAGGCCTAAAACCAACGGAGTGAGTGTTCGATCAGGAACAAAGTTGCCTTCAGACAGCTCTGAAATGGATGGGATATGATATATTTAGGTGCAAATCATTTAAAAGTGGAAAGTGAAAATGAGTCATTAAGTGGCCCTAAAATGTGAAAGAATGTTAAATAATTTATATTTCAACCTAGTTTGTCTTTAATGGGCAGTGACTTAAAAAAACCCCATTTCTGCTGCTTCTGCTTATCAAATCTTCAGGCTGTAGGGAAACAGCTGTGAGACTTTCCAGCTTGCTCTACTTGCTAAAGGTTTTTGCATTCTGCTTTGCTGGCTCCTCAGGCTGCTTCTTCCCCTTCCATTTCTTGACTTGGCATCCGTAAAACTACCTCTTCTCTTTCTGCACTGATGCCCTGTGTTAGTGATTGTGAACCTATGGCACACATGCCGCAGAGGGCTGTTTGTATCATTGAAAGCTCTGTTACTGTGTTTTTCTTTAAGGAATGAGTTATTTTTTCTAAATTAAAGCCTCAGTATTCAGGTTTAATTGCAGTGTTGGCACTTTGCTATAAAAAAGTGGGATTGGGGTTGCAGTTTGGGCACTGGTTCTCTAAAAGTTTTGCCATCGCTGCCCTGTATGTCCTAACCTAGTCCCTTGCCTTTAATATCACATGTGCGCTTATAATCCACAAATTCATGTCTTCAGTTTGGATTCCAGGCTGCCTATTTGACATTTTCATATAGATGTCTAAAATTTTAAACACACCCAAAAATGAGCTCCTAATCTCAATAGTACCCCCATTTTTTTCAGGTTCTTAGTCTAGAAAAGTTGGAGCCATTTTTGACTTTTTTATATTCCTAACCCACCCATCAGGAAATCAGGACATTTTCTGGAGAATTCCTATAAATGGGATCATCATATACGTGGCCTTTTGCATCTAGCTTCTTTCACTTAGTGTGCATATTGTCAAGGTTCATGTTCCTATTCATGTTGTATAGCAGTTTATATTGTCTATCAGTGTACTGTACATCAGTAATTCCATTTTTTGACTAATATACTTTGTATGGAGATACTATTATTTGGTTTATACATTCAATAATCTAATGGATTTTTAAATGGATACTTAAAGTTGTAAAAGAACTCCTCACAGGGGCCGGGGATTTAGCTCAGTGGTTCTGCCACCTGCTCTGCAACCGCAAGGACCTGAGTTCAATCCCTGGTACCAAAAAAAAAAAAAAAAGAACTCCTCATGGTAAGTTTGAGAGAGAGAGAGAGATACTATATACCTTTTTGAACTGTTTGTTTTTTAACAAAGTGCATATTACTTTGTAATTTAAAAAAAAATCCAGTAACTGTAATAATATGATCATGGATAACTAATTGTACTTCTCTCTTTCAGTTTTCTCACTGTAAACAAAGTTGGACTGAATATTTGCTGAGATCTTTTTCAGTTCTCAGATTTTGTTTATATGACAAAATGAGCACTAATATTAGAAGTTTTCTTCATGAATGACAGCTGTATCCTTTATAACTACAGTGTAATTTTGTTCATTTTTATCATAGGACTTAGAGTGCTATAATGGAAGGAATCAGTAATTTCAAGACACCAAACAAACTACCTGAAAATAGGAAATCTGGTAAGAGAGCAGATTATTGTTGCTATAGAAATGATTTTGTATTATTGTAGTTTGTTCCTGTGTCATCTTTCATGCACAGCTTTAGCTAAGTCTTCTGTGATATTAGTCTCAACAAATACAACTCATAGGACAGGGTTTGGTCACCCTCGGACTGTTTTCTCTGCCATCCTAACAATTTGAAAGTTCTGCCTGGTGAAGAATCAGTTTAGCTTCAGTTAGTAAGAAATTGCTTTACCTTCCTCTTTCCTTCCATGCATTGCTCTCATGTAAGATATTTTCTAAGGCAATTCAGTGGGCAAAGAGAAATCAAACAACTGTAAATCCATGTGCAAAAAACAAGCCTCGACCCTTTACTCACATCATACGCAAAAATGGCTAAAATAAGAACATTTCTCAATAATAACAGAAAATCTTAGGTTGTTCATTTCTAGTGTGTAGATTTCTTTGTATTCTGCAGGAATGCTAAATTCACTTACTCGCTTACTTTTTTTTTTTTTTTTTTCCTGACACTGGGGATTGAACCCAGCCAGGAGATTTCACACTGAGCTACATCCTCAATGCTTTTTCACATTTTTCATTTTGAGACAAGGTCTCATTAGGTTATCCAGGCTTTCCTTGCACTTGCAGTCCTCCTGCCTCAGCCTCCCAAGTAGCTGGAGTAACAGGTGTGCACCATTGTGCCTGGCTCCGTTAGCTTTTTTACAGATTGCTTAGGATATTTTAAGTAGTTGGTCATGTGTAGAGGAATAAAGACGTTTATTTTTTCCCCGATCTGTATGACTTTTATTTCTTTTTCTTATCACACTGGCTTCAGTATATTTTTGAAGTGTTCATGGACATACTTGTCTTGCTCCCAGTGTTTTACATTAGATGTAGGCTTTTGGCAGATGCCCTTATCAGGTTGAGACATTTTCCTTCTCTTCCTAGTTATTATGAATAGGTATTAAATTTTGTCAAGTGCTTTTTCTGAACCTGTTGACGTAATAAAAGTTTTCTTTTTTTAATCTGTTAAGGTGGCAAACTATGTTAATTTTCAAGTGTTAAACCAACCTTTCATTCCTGGTGTACAACTAGTTTGGTCAAGATGTATTTTATATATTGCTTGACTTAATTTACCAATTACATCTTTTATTCATGAGAGATATTGGACAGTAGCTATCTTTTTTAGAATGTCTGTCTAGTTTTGATATTTTGTATTCTATATTCCTAAAGTAAGATGGAAAGTATTTTCTTGTGGAAAAATACTTTATCTGTGGAGAATTAATATTTCTTCTTGATTGGTAGAATTTATCATTGAAGCCATCTGGGCCTGGGGTTTCCGTACAAGGAAGATTTTAACTCATTTCACAATTGATAGTGGGCTATTCAAGTTATCTGTTTTTCTTTTAGGAGTTTGTTGGTGTTTTTCAAGGAGTTTGTCCGTTACTTCTAAGTTGTTAGATTATTGGGATAAAGTTCCTTTTATGTACTCTGATTTACCTTTCTGTTCTTTTTTATTTCTGATGCTGCTGTTTTATATTTTCTTTTTTGCCCCAGTCTGTTTGACTTGAGGTTCATCTATCTTGTGACTGTTGTGTGTAGCTGAAAAGGTCAGATTTTCCCCTGTTGCTGGGTGGCATGTTCCACAGCTGTCAGTTAGGCCATCTGGTTGACCTTTTGTGTTGTTTTGTTGAGGTTTTCTACCTCCCTGCTGATTTTCTGTGTACTTTTTAATTATGGAGAGAAGAGTGCTGATGTCTCTAACTGCACTTATGGGTTTGTCTGTTTTTTCCCTTCAGCTCTATCACTTTTTGTTTCATGTATCTTGATGAATTACTAAGTATACACATGTTTAGGATAGTTATTTCTTTCAGTAAATTTACCCGTTTGTACAAAAATCCCTTTAAAATCCTCTATTCTGAAGCCCACTTTGTGAGATACTAATAGAGCTGCCTGCCTTTGTTTTGATTGGTGTTCGAATAGTATGTTTTCCAACCTTTTACCCAATTTTGTCTTTATATTTAAAGGAGTTTATTATAAAGAGCATATATTCTACGTTTTTTTTTCTACGTTTTGTTTTTATCCATTCTGACATTTTCTGCCTTTAAGTGAACTGTTTCTCTATTAGCTGCGTTAGGCTATTTTAATTTGGATTCAAATTAATAAAAATTAAACAAAGTCATGTTCCTCATTCATACTAGCCACATTTCAAGTGCTTGGTAACATCATGTGGCTAATGGCTTGCATACTGGGTGGCATAGATACAGCACATTGTCTTCATGGCAGAGAATTTATTGGACACTATTTAGATGATTTACATTTTATAGTATTATCTGTGGTTAGGTTTAAATCTACTCTTGTGCTGTTGTCCATAGCTCATTGATGATTTTTTTCCCTGATCTTTTTCTCTTGTATGCTTCATTTTTGGTAGTTTTTGTTGCTTTTTCTTAAACTTCAGTTAACCTTATTTCTGCTCTAAAATGATGTTATTCTTACCTGTTATATTTTTCATTCCTTGAAGTTTCATTAGGACCTCTTTTTAAACATCATTTTACTCATCCTGATTTTCTTTTAGATTATTGAATAGATATATATCTTTTTAAGATTTCTTATCTGTTAATTCCACCATCCCTGTCAGGTGATGGTATATTTGCTTTGGTTTATTTTTCAACCAGTATAGATATTTTCGTGCTTCTTTTGAACCTGGTTATTTTTGTTTTGTTTTATTTTTTGAGACAGGGTCTTGCTATGTAGTTCAGGCTGGACTTAAACTCACTATGTAGCCCAGGCTGGCCTTGAACTCACGGTGATCCTCCTGCCTTGCCCTCTCAAGCGCTGGGATTACAGGCATGTGCCACCATGTCTGGCTTTTATCTGATAATTTTTTATTATATGGTAGATATTTTACATTATTGAGTGCTGGATTTTGTTATTCCTTTTAAAATTGTTTAATTTCATTAAGGTGTAAGATTAACTTACTGTATATTAGCCTGTTCCTTCTGAGACTTGCTTTTTTTTTTTGTAGATTTTTGTTCTTGGGCTAAAATTTAGCATACTGCTACTTGTAGACCTTTATAGGACTTTACTCAATACTTTGTATTACAAGGTTACCACATTCTGGCTCATGGTAAAGTGAACTTTACCTAGACTTGGGATTTCGGGTCATTATTTAGCCTATTGCGAACATGGCTTTGGGGAGCCTATCCACTATATGTGCAGATAAGTACTTAGCCAAGCACTTAATGAGAGACCTTTTCAGATCTTTGGAGGTATTTTTTAAGCTCCCTCCTTGTTCTCTGCTCCACAAATTCTGTCCACTTAAGCCTTCTTGACCTCTGATCTTCCTCTCCTCAGTTTGACAAGACTACTGGGCTCTATCAAGTTTTCTTGTTCATGGTGACAGGCAATTCTAAGAGTAGATGATTTTTCATGAGAAGAACTCCTCTATCCCACCTTCTCAATGATAGTACAGTGCTGTAATCTGTACTGTAATGTAATGCTTCTGATGATGATCTCTTAGGGTTTTGGTTTTCTTTTTAATTGCAAAAGCAGATTCCAGTATTCAAATATACATGTGCCCAATGCATGTGTGTGATCTCTTTCTTTGGATAAATGCTATGATGCAAGGGTCAGTAAACTTTTTGAGAAAGGCTAGATAGTGCATAGCTTAAAGTTTGCGGATCATGTAGGGACTCTTGTATATATGTTTTTATTTGTTTACTTTTCAACAGTTCTTTAAAAATGTAAAAGTAATTCTTAGCTGTGGACTGTACAAACAAGGTAATTTACTCATTTCTGCTTCAGTGTTAATGTAGAATAGAGTTCTAAAAGTAGATTTTTGATCAAAAGGTGTCCATTTAAAATTAAGATTGATAACTGTCGAATTGTTTTCCACAAAGACTATGCCATGTAAGAGTTCTAATAGTTTTTAAAAAAATATTAGGCTGCTTTGCAGAGGACTTTTCAAATATTAATTTTGTTTTTCTCTTTCTGACATTTAGTATTATGTTCAACTCCGTGTATAAATATTCCTGCCTCTCCATTTATGCAGAAGCTTGGCTATGGGACTGGGGTAAATGTTTACCTAATGAAAAGGTGAGTGTAAGGTTTCAGATTAACCTTTTTATAAGGAATTAGAAAATTCGAAACATCTAGATTTGGCATCCTTCTGGTCCTACCTAACTGCTATATTCCAGTCCCTAGAAGTTGGAAAACTGCCAGAGTTCTGCCTGGTAAACTTCTAGCTTCCTCCTCATGGATTATTAAGGGGAAGTAGTTTAGCTTGTAGTTTTCTCTTGGCTTCTCTAAGAAGGGGAATGCCAAAGGAAGAGTTTCCTCTGTGGAACTCACACAAGATTCTCCATGAGAAAACCCAAAGAGGAAGCCAGCAGTGGGCATGCCACAGTGACTGACCCTCTTGTGTCTGGAGAGTCGCTATCCCAAGAGTTTCCCTTCTTAAAGAAAGTAGAAGTTTTTCCTTCTTATGGATTCATTGTTAAGAAGAGGAAATACACAATTTTAAAGATTTTAAATCATGTTAGAAGAAAAATGAAGTAATTGAACAAGTATAGTGCTAGTAGCTAGTAATACAGATGTCAGTAGTTTTTGTTTTTCCAAATTTATTTCTTTTAATCATTACTCTTTGTCTATTTCCATGTTTGTTAAATGGCAGGCAACTAAGTCAATATATATTTCTTAATTATTTTTGGAATCACCCTATTAATCCAACCTTTCTTACAATATCTTAGCTTCATTTATTTATATTGTATTCAAAACAAATGCTTTCTCTAATGAAGCTAATGAATTGAGATATTCTAGCAGTTAGAGTCAAGGGGTTATTCCTGAAGCATTTTTGTGGGTTAAACATCCCCTCCGTGTGTTTGCATGATATTAGTATCTTTTGAAAACACTTTCTGTTGTTTTTAGGGCGGAGGGCAGGTTTAATTTTGTTTCTGTTTATTTTGGGGTTTTTTGGTTTTTGTTTATTGTTTTGGCTTTTGTGACAGGGTCCTGCTATATAACCCAGGATGGCCTCAAATTCTTGGTGATCCTCCTGCCTCAGCCACCAAGTACTGGGATTACAGGTGTGGGCCACCACATCTGGCTTGGACTGGTCTACTTTTCCTTGCTTTGTTTTCCTGTGTTCTAGCTATTGTTTTGCTCTTGTTTTCTGGGAAATTTCCTCAACTTTATCTTTTAAGGCTTCTGCTATTGAGTTTTTCTTTTTTTTTGTCTTGTTTTTAATTTTCCTTTTTGGAAATAGTGTACTAAGTTCCTTGGGGGCTAGAGACGTCCTATCCCTTGGTGTGGATGTGCGCACACAGGTGTGCATGTACACAGAGAACTTCCCTGAGTGTTAGTCAGCGTAGGGCATTAATTCTTGCCCTGTTGCTGCATGCTCCATGCGTGTTCAGCAGCCAGTAACTGGGCTTTGGGCCCTGTGTTTTGCCTCCTCCCAAAGCCAGTCTGTTCCTCAGAAGCGGGAGCTGGGGACTGCTAAGTGGTACAGTCTTGGGGCTGCTTTTCAGGCACGCACCAGCTTTTCACATAACTTTCCAACATTTCATTGGGCCTCTTAAGTACTTGCATTTATCTGCTTTCCATCTTCTGAAATTTTGTTGCTGTTGTCTCCTGGGCTTTTATTTCCATCCTTGTCACTGGGCTTATGTCTTAAAATAGCCATTTGCTATTATTTTAGTGGGGCTTGGAAAGGGTAAAAATTATATATATATGTTGAAGCTCTAATTTTTATCCAGAAATCTGTATTCTTAAATGTTAAATTGAGTTTGCTTTCCTAAATAAAAATCCAGCATAGTTTGGATTATTTTTAAATAAACTGGTAGTCATTTGTGGTGGTGCAAGCCTGTAATCCCAGCACTGGGAGGCTGAGGCAGGAGGATCACTGCAAGTTCGAGGCTAGCCTGAACTACATAGCGAGACTCTTCTCAAAAAAACCCACAAAAACACTAAACTGGTAAGATTCAGTTTGTTAATATTTGTTGGGACCTTTTGTATCTGTGCTATAAATATATTTGAATCAAATTTGTGATTTTCCTTTTTTTTGCTGTCTTTGATTTTTTAAATTAAAATTATACTGTATTTATGGTCCCTAAAAACCAGCTTTAATGCTGGCGGCTCAGAAGGGACTTGTGTCACCTCCTGAGCACTGAATAGAAGTTGGTTCTTTATATATGTCTTTTTACATCTGTGAAGCTTACTTTTCATTGGAGTTTCCCTGGGAATAGAGCAAGCAGGATTTACACAAAGCAGAGCAGTGGGGTTGGGGTTGGGGGGTCTGGCAGGACTTTCTTAGTCTCTTAAGCTCCTTTGGTGACAGATTACAGACGTTGTCATGGTTACTCGGGGATTCTACAAAGAGTATAGTTACCTAGTTAACCCATAGTTGCCCAGTTGAGAGGTGGTTTCCTCTCATACTCACTTGTAGAAATCATCTATGCCTTATATTTCTTGTAGGAAGATTTTAAACATTTGAGTAAATTTCTTCTTTAATCAGTTTTATCATTTTTAAAATTTTAAACATTTCTTCTATATCTACAAGTTGTTTCCCTACTTTTGTTTGAAATATTATTTGTGGTTTCTGGTTTTTTCCTTACATAATCTTATCAGAAAGTTGACTTTCAGTCTTTTTGTTTGAGACAGGGTCTCACTGCATTTCAGGCTGGCCTTGAACTCACTATGTAGCCCAGGCTGGCCTCAAACTCATAGCAATCCTTCTGTCTCAGCCTCCCAAGTGCCGGTTACAGGAGTGAGCCACCATGCCCAGCTCTTTTAGTCTTTTCAATGAATCAGCTCTTAGCCAACTATTTTATTCAGATTTCATAAATCTGTTCTTGTCATTCTGTAGTTTAGAATAAATATGGAAAAGGAGAGTTTGGGTTTTTTCACTGACTTTTAAGCTGTGAAGTAATCCTGAAACTTGAAAAATATATTTTTCAGAATAAAATGATATGGAATATGTTATTCCTCCAAATTGCTGCTGTTATCTAAAACTGTAAGTTTAATAATAGTTTACATAAACTTATGGATGATAGATGATATAGTTATCATGTCTTATGACTTAAGTATCTTATGATCATTTGAGTACAGACTTTTTGATTAAACAAACACAAAAAGTTCTGCAACTTAATTTTACAGCCCTGCCCATGAAAGAGTTCAAAGGTAAACAGATCAAGCAGATCATTGGTTCAATCAACTTTATCTTATCTTCTTTTTCTACAGATTGAACCCCCAGGCTTAGTGCACTGTAGGCAAGCACTGTACCACTCAGCCACCTCTGCGCTCCCATCTTTCATTTTATGTTTTTATGGTTAAACTTTTTGTCCTAACTTTTTGAAGTTCTTTCACTAGTCTCTGTGTCCTTATATGGTCTATACTTGTTTTACCTATTTGTTTGTTTAGGCCTTAAAACATTAATACCTTAAATATTCTTAAAATGGCTAAATCCTCCTATATAAAATTTACATTTAAAATATAGTATAATATAAAAAGTTTACATATTCCTCATCTATGTTTATTTTTCTCTCCTAAGCACATCTTCGAGCATGTGATGAAAAGTATAAAGTGAACTGATCTGTATAGAAGTGCATTTGTTGGTAAAGAATAGCACGCTGTTCCTTGGATGATTATTAAACAGGCCACGTGTTTTTGAGCATCTCTTCTTTAAGTTAAATTCCTTAAGGATTTGGCATTAGATCCTATAACTCACATCTTGATAAATCTAGTTAAATGCTTCTTAAGTTGTTGGTAGTCTGACATGTTAGAATAAAAAAATTAGAAAAGAGTAGCAGTTTTCATATTTAAAATTAATAACATTCCATCCATATCCTTCTCTTTTGATGCCCCGCTCAGTATCAGACTTCTCTCAGTATATATGATACTTATCTTCCAGTTGAAATAGAAATGCAGCAGAGGTATTGATAGTCTAAAATATTTTAAATGTTGTTTTCTTGTTTTATTTTGTTTTTCAAGACAGGGTCTCACTTTATAGACCAAGCTGGTCATGATCCTCCTGTTTCAGCCTCCAAAGTGCTGGGATTATAGGAGTATGCCACTGTTCCTAGCTAAATATTGGTTTGTTTTGTTTTGTTTTTTAAACAAATTACTATCAAGATCTTTTTGAAATTTGAAAGTTCTTGTTTGTCATTTGAAAATATTATTATGGTTTTTATTCATTTCTATACTGTTTATTATTATCATTATTATTATTTAGATCTCCAAGAGGTTTGTCTCATTCTCCTTGGGCTGTGAAAAAGATTAACCCTATATGTAATGATCATTATCGAAGTGTATATCAAAAGAGACTGACTGATGAAGCTAAGATTTTGAAAAGCCTTCATCATCCAAACATTGTAGGTAAGTGTAAATTTTTGTTGCAGTAAGTGGTACAGTAATATTCTGTACCCAGAAACAACGCAACACTCTCTTAACTAGTTTCACTAGTAAAAATGAAGAGGATGGGGCTCCAGAATGTAAGGAATCAGGGGCCGGGGATATAGCTCAGCAGTGCTGTGCGCCTATCTAGCAAGCACAAGGTCCTGAGTTTGATTTCTGATACTGAAAAAAAAAAACCAGAATGTAAGGAATCAAGTTAATGTGAACAGTCTAAAATAAAAATTCACATAAAATACTTTTTAGATGCTTATGTAGATAAACTTCATGGGGATAGAACAGTCATTACAGTGCTGGTACTATGAAGATTTCAGGGATATAAAATGATCTTAATGTAGATAATTTGGTCCACTTAGTTTCCTTGTTTTCAGTTTGTGTTTTTAGTACTGGTAGGGCTGTACTCTTTAGAGAAGTACAGAGTAATAAAAATATTTTAATTTGGGGCACAATGGCAAACATTGAAGGCATTTTACATTAGATCCTAGTGAGTTAGATAAAGTAAATAATAGCTGTTTCAGGGTGTTAGTCCAGATCCATGTTTTCAATCCCATTACTGTAAAATGCTTAAATACTGTTGTTCTTTCTTATACTGCTAAAAAGTGTCATGTTTCCTTAAGGTTACCGTGCTTTTACTGAAGCCAGTGATGGCAGTATGTGCCTTGCTATGGAGTATGGAGGGGAAAAATCTCTAAATGACTTAATAGAAGAGCGATATAAAGACAGCCGAGGTCCTTTTCCAGCAGCTATAATTTTAAAAGTTGCTTTGAACATGGCAAGAGGCTTAAAGGTAACTTATGCCATCATACTTTAAATAACTTTTGTGGTCTCTGAACAAACGAAGCACTTAATACCTAATGACAAAGTGGGATTTGTTTTATATTCTCTCAAAAGGGGGAGTTTCGGGCTGGGGATTTAGCTCAGTGGTTTTGCCGCCTGCTGCGCAAGCTCAAGGACCCGAGTTCGATCCCAGGTACCAAAAAAAAAAAAAAGGGAGTTTCTTTAAATTCAAGTCTTTATAGTCTCACATTGCAGAATGGACCATTTCTTTATTTTGATCAGCAAAATATTGTTTGGGGCCCTCAGATAAGTCTGAAGTAACCTAACTCAGGTGGTTTTGTAATAGAGATCACATGTTACACTTAGTTAAATGGAAAAATAAGTTTAATACAAATTTAATAGTTGTTCCTTGGAGTATAACCTCACCCTTTGTTAACACAAGAAAACTAATGATTGTTTTGTGGGATGTTAAGTTTTGGACACCATGAGGATACATTTACAGGTTCAATGACTAAAGATTAGTGTTATGCAAAAAAAATTATTGTGCCTTTGGGTAGACATGATAAAAGGAATAAAAATTCTATACACCATATCACTTAAGCAGAAGTAGTAATGGCTCCAGAAAACTACTGGATGACTCAAAAGTGGACCAGGTAACAATGATACTGATGTCAAAGTTGCACGTTAAGAGTTCAAATGACGGCCAGGAATTTAGCTCAGTGGTGCTGTTGCTTGCCTCACAAGTGCAAGGTCCCAAGTTCGATCCCCCTGGTGTACCAAAAAAACAAAACAAAATGAGTTCAAGTGAAATTGATTTATGCAACAAATTGGGGAAAAGGCAGTGTTTCTAAATACGTATTTCAATAAATTTATAGATAGCCAATTTTAAATGCACAGAATAAACAAAAATCTGAATTCTTTAATAGCTAAGGATTTGGAATGTATATGTATAATGAAGTTAATAAATTACAGTATGAATACTATGGGCCTATTCACTGTATGTCGGGTAGCACTACGTGAAGCATAGCTAGCTCAGTGTCCCTATACCAAAAATGGTCTCTGCATCATTTCTAAGCCAAGCTCATACAGAAGTTCTCACATGCTGAAGAATGAACAAATAACCATTTTAAAAGATGTGAGCGAATATTTTTTCTTGCTAAATCCAAAAAAGGGGTTAATGCTCTGCATGGTGTTGCTGCCCTATAAGCCTAGCACTTGGAAGGTGGAGGCGGGAGGATTGCTGAGAGTTTAAGGCCAGCTTAGACTATATAGCGAGACCCTGCCTCAAAAAGCAGGGGAAGCACTAAAGGGTTTAACGAAAGTCTTAGATTACATTTCTGCTTCTAAATTATATGTAGCCTAAGTCACCTATCAGTTCTGCATTATCTCAATAGTTTGAGGTAACTGCTTCATTGTAAAGATTCAAAAATTATTTTAAAAACTACTAGCCTCAAGTAAAATTGCAGTATATCTTGACATCTGCTGTAAAACCTTCTGATATAAAAGCATACGGGATGGGTTTGAAAAATACAAAGTTAACTTATTTATATAAAGGCATTTAAAAAGAATCTTTTAGTAATAACATGGGATGTTCTGTGCCCAACTTCAAATTATTTGAAATTATGGACAAATAATAAATATGTAGTTTAAAATGAGAGTTCAAATCATTTTTATTTGAAGGTTAATATTTTTATTAGTTTGTATTTCTGCTTATAGGTGTTAAATTTTTTATAATTTTAGTATCTGCACCAAGAAAAGAAACTGCTTCATGGAGACATAAAATCTTCAAATGTTGTAATTAAAGGTGATTTTGAAACAGTTAAAATCTGTGATGTAGGAGTTTCTCTTTCATTGGATGAAAATATGACTGGTAAGTTGTATTGTTTAAAATTTTGTAATGTTAGAAATTTTTAAATTTCTGATTTTTACATTTAAAAATATATGATAAATCCTCATAGTTCAAAATTTTAAGATGACTGTAAATGCAGTGGACCCATGACTTACGAACTCAATTTCTTCGCAAAGGCTGGTTGTTACTCAGGTTGGTCAATCGAAGGCTCAGGCTCCTCTACACAGCCCTCAAAGTCTCTCTCCTGCATAGAGGCACATCTTGGTGTCCTTAGACATTGGGCCAGGATTTCTCCACCCCACACAGGAAAAGATATAATGGTTCTTCCAGAACTCTTTAAGGGTTAAATCTGTATCTGAGACCATCTGGAAGCACTAGCAGCTGGCATTTGGGTCATAACTCAAGATTTTGAACATAAGTTAAAAACTAAAATTCCATTCGTAACCCAAGTTGTTCGTATGTCAGGCCGGTCATAACTCGAGGGTCCATTGACGTAATAAAAAATACCCTAGGGCCAGGGATTTAGCTCAGTGGTTTCGCCCCCTGCTGCGCAAGCACAAGGACCCGAGTTTGATCCCCGGTACCAAAAAATAAATAAAATAAAAAATAAAAAAATACAAAATATCCTTCCTTTTCTATCTTGTATCCACTCAGCCTCCAGTCCCTTCTGTTGCACAATATAAATTATTGGCTTCTTATTAGTGTATACTTTCACCAACATTAACTTTGGGACATATTTCTAATCTGGATTAAGATGTTTAAACTATAAGGCATCTGGGAATAGAAAGTAAAACTTTAATAAGGTTGTTTTGGTTTTTTTGTAATACTGGCGATTGAACTCAGGGCTTCGCACTTGGTAGGCAAGCTCTCTACTTACTACTGGGCTACATCCTAAACCCTTTTTATTGTGAGACAGGGTCTCACTATGAGTTGCCCAGGTTGGCCGCAAACTTGGGTTCTTTCTGCTTTAGCCTCCTGAGTAGTTGGGATTACAGGTGTATGGCACTGCAGTTGGCTTAGTAATATCTTGTAAAAGAAATATCTCAGTAAAATGATGAAATTTGGGAAACTGCTAGACGAAACGAGTAAACTAGGAGAGTGGTGCTAATAAAAGCGAGTCTTCTGCTTTTTGCTCTCGCAACCCTCTCATCCCTGTTTTTTGTATACTGCCAGTTGTCTTCTCAGAAATTCAAGATTTGTCTTTGGAAAGAGCCAAGAGCCACACTTGAGAATGCTTCTGCTTTTAACATTACTTAGCAAGTACCATTTACATTTGTCTCTCTGTATGAATATAAGTTATAGGGTTGGCCTGTGCGTGCTGTTCAGAACATATGTAAAGCTTAATGTCTAGCAGAAGTAAAAGTTTTTAAGTTGTTGGAGGCAGAATCCAGGATAGAGTGACTATAATGATGTCTATAATTGTTAATAAAAATTGAACTGTTATGAATGCTAAATAACTGCTACAAAGTTGAAACTTTAGGAAATAAATTGTCAAGCACAATAAAAATAAGATCTTTAAAGTGTAATTTTTTTCAAACCTTAATAGAATAGATAAAAGTACAGGTATGAAAGATCTGAGTAAATAGTACATTAATCTCTCTGCATTAGAATATTTATTAAAATTAAGCTGAGCATGGTAGCGAACATCTGTAATCCCAGCTACTTGAGAGGCTGAAACAGAAAGGTCATGAATTTGAGGCCCTGGGCAATTTAGAAAGACTCTGCCGCCCCCCAAAAAATTTTTAAAATTGACCATATATTAGGTAAGTCACAAAAGCAAGCTTAACATTACAAAAAAGTTGTCTCTAATGGTTGACATTCACTGATGTCAGTGCTATAAATCCAGAGCTTTACAGCAAAACTGGAAACAAAACACTAGTTTTTTAAGGAATTTAAAAACACTTGTAAATAATTCTTGGCTGATGGAGGAAATCAAATTCCATTTCAAATATTTAAAAAATAGGAATGTTACACACCAAAAATTAAAAGACCCAATTAAAAAATGGGCAGTTGAAATGAAGAGACACTCTCAAAGGAAGAAGTGAAAATAAGTACCTGAAAAAATGCTCAGCATCTTTGCCCCATTATAGAAATGCAAATGAAAACAACACTGAGATTTCATAGTACTCCAAAAAGAATAGCTATCATCAAGAACTCAAATCTTAGCAAGTAACATTTACGTTTGTAAATAGTGGTGAGGCTATGGGGGAAAATGGAACCCTTTGGCATTGTTGGTGGGAATGTAAGCTATCAATAAATAAATGGATAAGGAAGGTTAAATAAAGAAGGTTAAATTTGAGTCATTTGTAGGAAAATGGATGCACTTTGAAAACCATAATGTTAAGTGAAATCAATCAGACACAGAAGGTTCAATATTTCATGATTTTTCTTATAGGAGAAACCCAATAATAAGTAAAAAGCAAATAAAAGATAAATGATAGGAAACAGGGAGAGTCAGACTTTGTGGAGATGGGAAGTAGAAGTAAAAATTAAGATGCAATATGTGCATGTACCAATTCACCAAGATGAATGTAATTTATTATATATTGAAAACATAAAAGAATATATAACAAATCAAAATCTATTTGATATGGTTGAGATTACTCAAAGGAAAACATTTCTATTTAACTTTTATGAAATTAAATTGAGTATTCATCTTAGATGTAAAACAGATGAAACCCTAAGAAAGCAGAAAGCAGAAATGAATAAACTATAAATTCACCAGAATCCTCGTTTGATCTGTTTCAGAACATACCCAAGTGAATATAAAGTTCGTCCTTGCCAGGCATGGTGGCAGATGCCTAGAATCTCAGAACTTAGGAGGCTGACATAGGATTGCTGAGTTCAAGGCCATCTCCAACTACATACTGCCTCAAAAAAAGCAAACAAACAAAAAAGTGCATCCTTGAAGCATATATTCAAACACAGCTAGGAAGATTCTATGAAAAAATGATGATGAGGAATCTCTCTGACCAGATTTTGAAGTTCAGGCAGGGTGCAGTAGCACAAGCCTGTTATGCCAGCTGCTTGGAAGGCTGAGGCAGGACGATTTAAAGTTTGAGGCCAGCCTAAGCAACTTAACCACTTATCAGTGCAATTATTTACATACAGGATGACCAAAAATTGCATATTTTTTGGTTATTTTTATAAGATAATATAACAAAATATAAAAATGACAATTTTATCAAATTTACTCAATACAGGATTAGACTGGCTGAATGACACCTGCCTGAGCAATGCTCAGTCAGTGTGTAAAGAAAAGTGCTGCCGGAGTTTGCGCAGGGTGAACTGTTACGTGGTTAACGAGAGATCTTGTCTCAGAAGAGTAGGGGAGGCTGTGAGTGTAAGGTAATAGAAAACCTTGGGTTCAATCTTAAGTTCTGAAAAAGAAAGGTTTTGTAAAACTTCAGTAATTAAAGCAGTGATGGGGCAGAGATTTAGCTCAGTGGTTCCACCGCCTGCCTCACAAGCACAAGGTCCTGAGTTTGAGCCCCGGTACCAAAAAAAAAAAAGCAGTGATGTGCATGCCAAAATAGGCAGAACATAAGGTAGTCAAGAAATAGAGGAATTTATTCCCAAATAGAGGAATTTATTATGTGATAAAGGTGACATTTTGTTTTAGGAAGAGGTAGTTTAATCAATAAATGCTGTTATCTGGATAGTTTAGAAAAAAATACGCCTTTTCTGTCCTAGCATTTTAATAACACGTTCCCTCTGGCTTGAACCACCCATGGTACATACATGACTGTCCCAAGGGTGCCTTGTACCACCGTGGTACAAATGATAATCACTTTTATCAGTCTTTTTACTAATAAAATTAGTAAAAAGTTGAACCACCAGTGGTTCAGGCCACTCAGCAGCAAGATGTAAGAATTATAGCCCCATGGTGAATGTGTTAGTCCCCATAGATTGGAGATTGGAGGAAAACTAAAATAGAAAACTTGTAGGCAATATTTCCTTAATGTTGGGCTTGAGAGGACTTTAACCATGTTACCAAAGCTAGAAAGTATTTTTAAATTTTTAATTAATTAATTAATCTTTTTGGTACCAGGGATTGAACTTGGGTTAGAAAGTACTTTTTTAAAAAAAACCTTTAAGGGCCAGGGATTTAGCTCAGTGGTTCCATTGCCTGCTTTGCAAGTGCAAGGTCGCGAGATCAATCCCCAGTACCAAAAAAATTTTTTTAATTTAAAAAATAAAAAAATAAATTTAAAAAAGCTTTGACTACTTTCAATTTTAAAAAATATTTCTGTATGTGGCATTGGGGAGAAGGCAGGAAGATTAAGACATTACAAACTGAGAAAATGATGTATAAAATAAAGGATTAATATTTCTAATGTGTAGCTGGGGACTTAGCTCAGTGGCGCCATGCCTGCCTTGCAAGTACAAGGTCCAGAGTTCGATCCCTGGTACCAAAAAAAATTTCTAATGTATAAAATTATCAATGAGAAAAAGATAAAAATTATCATGAACAGCCTATTGAAAAATGACATATTAAAATGGCACAATTAGGAAACTTTAATATTCTTTTTTTGGAGGAAACTTTAATATTCTTAATTTTCAAAGGCTAAATTAAGTGACAGTGAGCCTCACTTTAAATTATCTGTTAATGTTTCTGTAATCCTCCATTAGACTTGTAAGCTCTTTTTATTAGTATTTGTAATACCTAATTACATTCATCTTGAGGATGGCACTATTCGTAACCTTTTGACTTGGTTGTAGCTAGTGGGTTCCATTCTAGTGCCATAGCATTTCCAATGATTCATGACTGACTGACACTAGTGTCCTTCAGTTTCAGGAATTGGAGACAAATTTTTTAAAAAGGCTCATTAAATCTTGAGGAATTGGTCCATATACATACTACATCCTAGTTATTTTACGTCCCCTTCCCCTCTGCCCACTGGTCTCCCCCAATCCCCAGATCCTCTTACCCTAGAAGGTGGGAACTTGTGTTTGTTGTTCACTGTAGTGTCCTGCGATAGTGCTGTACTTACAAACATACCAGGGAAGGAATAACAAGATTGCCAATGAGATCAATAATGTAGGTTAACATGTCCTCTCGTGTACTATGTAGGTGTTACAACTGCTGCATCATTCAGGTTAGAATGGGTTTTGCTGTGGTAACACAGACCTCAAAACCCCTGAGAATTAAAGCAACCAAGACTTATCCTTAAGCTGTGTCATGCTCAGGGCTGTGGTCCGTCTCACATTTAAGACCTAAGCTGATGAAACAGGCACTTCTGGAATGCTGCAGTCACCATGTGGAAGGCTAAAAAAGCAAGAGCAGTGCTATCAAATGTAGTAGCCACTAGCCATGGATCAAAATCTAGCAGGGCAAATATTAAATCCCGTAGTACCATGTCTAGCATATGGGGCAATCTGCAGCAAGATGTGAATTTCTAAGGTCTTGGGTGGCCCTGCCCCTATGGCACTGCTAGTGATAGGAGCCCTCATGGCTTCCCTCTTGGGCCAGCTCTGCTCCCTCCTTGCAACTTTCCTCAGACAATTCATGATCCACATTCCTGGCTTCTCCAACCTTCTGGGGTCTCCACTGCACTTTCGGCTTCACACTCACAGCTTCACACACTGCTTTCTCAGAGGCACACTGCCTGGCCTCCCAGGCCTTCCGAAATCTTAGGTGGAAGCCTCCCTGACCCCAAAACTCTTGCATTCTGCATGCACCTAAAACCAGCACCAGGTGGATGATGCCAGGTTTTGCCACCAGCTGGAGCAGTAGCCAGCCTTCTTTTTTGGATGTAGGGATTGAGTGCCTGGATCACTGAGCACTATGAACCCAGTCTGGAGAAATAAATTCTCTAGACCACTGCCACTCTGGAGCGAGTTGTGCTGAGGTTCTTTTCTCAAAGCAAAGTCTTTCACCTCTGCATTTTTTTTTTTTTCACCTCTGCATTTTTGAAGAGCAAAGAGTGGAGTCCTGCTGCCTCTCACGATGCCCTCAGGTCTTTTCTATTGTTCTCTTCTGAAATACTTGGCTTTTTATTGCTAATCTTTTCAGCAACCATATTCTCCACTGTTCCATCTTTGTAGGCCATAACTTCACTGGAGCCTTCTTTGTGGCCAGACTCAAAATCTTAAAATCATTCTGCTGAGCCCTTTGTTCTTGATTCTCAACATAGATGTGGCTAAAAACCCCTAACAGTAGTCATGGCACAGCCTTAACATTAGATGCCTTGAAATTTCTTCCAGATTAATTAATCCTCCATGGTTAATTTCCATTTCTTGCAGTGTCTTTGGACATGAGCAAATTGCAGACAAATTTTCTGCTGACACACAACACACATGTTCTGGAGTCCAGCAGCTGATGGAGTCCTCCCCAACTGAAACCTTCTGAGCCTGGACTTTTTCAGCCTCATTACTCTCAGCATTCTGGTCTTCTGAGCTCTGACCAGAGACTCTCCCATCACCTCGGCTTACACATTCCAGGGCTACTTTAGCTGGCATCTCCAAACCTTGCCAATCACTTCCCAAAAGCCAGTTCCAAAGGTTTCTAAACCACATGGCCAGGTAGTGTCACAGCAACAACTCCACTTCTCTGCTACCAAAATCGGTCTTGGTTTCTTTTCTCCTTGCTGGGACAAAATACCTGACACCCACTGTCTTTGTACTCACTTTATCTTCAGACAGAGCATACTGTCTTACTACATATACTTCAAAATATTGAGTGAACGAATGAATGCTTGTTAGCTGGAATCTTCAGTTTCCTGGCTTCTGGAGTCTCAATTTTCCTTCTCTTAGTCCTCCCTTTTGTTCTTCAAATATTTTTTTTCTTTTTTTGTAAATACTTTGAGACCCTCAGGGCAGAATGTTTCTTTAGTTCTGAAGAGAAGTTCATTTCATTAAACAGGATCTTAGGTTTTTCTTCTGGTATTTGAGTGAATGATATTCATTCATTTTGTTTTCACTCTATCCTTATAAAAATGATGATTATAATCAAATACTGAATTTTTCCATTTTTTTAGTATAATATACTCTAACATTGCCTAATGGATGTTCTGTTTGTAAGGGCCTTAATTTATCCTAATTGTAGGAGTAAAGCATAGTTTACAAAATGATGAAACTGAGGTCCAGAGGTGAAGTGATCTGCTAAGGGTCCCACAGTTTGCCCATGTCTTTGAGTTTAGGCAAGGTTGTCTGTTTCTGGAGTCTGTAGTCTTGATTTGTACCCTCTTCATATTCATGCCACTTTCTAGGAGAATTGCTATGTGCTTCCATCTTTGTGAACTGACTGGTTGTTTTAAAATTTACCAGTCAGCTGGGGGGAGGCAAACCTTACTAATGAAGTCGAATGTATTTTCATGTTAACTTATGGATTCCCTGCTCAAATCATTTGCCCATTTTTCTTTGAGTTGCTTGGCTTTCTTTCTTTTCTTTTTTTTTGAGACAAGGTCATTGTGTAGTCCAAACTGGCCTTGAATTCACTGTGTAGCTGAGGCCTGGCTGGAACTGGCAGTGATCTTCCTGTCTCAGCTTCCTGAGTGCTGGGATTACAGGCATGCACCACCATTCCTGCTGCCTTTCTGCTTAATGATTTCTACTGCCTGACTGCTCTCATGACAGTTTCACTTGTTTCAGTGACTGCTCCTGAGGCCTGTTACATTGGTACTGAGCCATGGAAACCCAAGGAAGCTTTGGAGGAAAATGGCATTATTACTGACAAGGCAGACATATTTGCCTTTGGCCTTACTCTGTGGGAAATGTTGACTTTGTCTATTCCACATGTTAATCTTAATCTTACAGATGATGATGATGATGATGCCGAAGGTATGAATTCAAATTTTATTTTTTAATATTTTTGTAGTGCTAGAGATTAAACTCCTAGGCAAGTGCTCTACCACTGAGCTATACCCTGAGCCCAGGGGAATGAATACAAATTTTTAAAACAAATTCCAATCTCATGACACTAACATTAGCTTACATATCTTTCCATTGTTGAAATTTAAGAGTACTTGTTGACTTAGTGGAGTAGTTTGTAAGATATAGAGTACATTAATACCATGACACTAATTTGGTTAGATTTAATCTTGTGTGAGTCATACATTGAGAATTGAGAGACAAACTGAAGAGATCTAGAAGAACAAGTTAAAACTACCCTTACCTGAGAAAAAAGGTTAGAGAACTATTCTAGGAAGGGGTAATGGTCAATAACCTATAAATCCATGACTAAAGTACTCACTGGGAGGATGATGGGAGACCATCCATGATGTACTAGAAAGCATACTAGATGGAAAATTGCTGGAGGCTGAGTTACTGAGCTTTTCCATGATTGTAACTGATTTTATCGTTTTAATCTCTAATACCTTTGAGTAGATAAAACTTTTGATGAAAGTGACTTTGATGATGAAGCATACTATGCAGCTTTGGGAACCAGGCCACCTATTAATATGGACGAACTGGATGAATCATACCAGAAAGTAATTGAACTCTTCTCTGTATGTACTAATGAAGATCCGAAAGCTCGCCCTTCTGCTGCACACATTGTCGAAGCTTTGGAGCTAGATGGCCAGTGATCGTGTTCTTGATGACCTCAGTACATAACGGTCTGTTTTTTTTTATGTCTCTATATATGTTACTATGATGATCTGTGGTTATTACCCTCTGGAAGTGGCCTATTTTAGGTCCACAGTGCCCTGTTAATTTTGAATAGCTTTTTAGCATAAGGATATTTATGTTCTTATGATAAGCACTTGGTATTATACTGGATTTTATGTGAACTTCAAAAAAGTGGTTAGATGTTCCACAGACTTAAAACACTAGCAATAAAATGCTGTAATCGGTTCTCACATAAATCTGATCTGAGTGACCATTCTATTAATGATCTCTTGTATATTCTCTATTTTAGTGGATTAAAAAGTGTTAAAAATCAACACTTTATACACTGCAAAGTAAATCTACATTTGCTTATATTTTAAAATATCAAAACTTTTGCTGGCATTTCCTGGCTGATGTGCTTATTAAATGGTCACCAGAACCTAAGAATATGACTCAAGAGTAGCTGCTTGGGTATTTCTAGACTCTTTGGTTACAGCTTGTCCTGCTGTCTTCTATTGATGTTTAATTTATTAAGTGTATTTCCTGTACTAAGATTCCTTTTTAAACTTTTATGTACTAATATGTATACTAAGTATTTCAAAGTGTGGCATAAAAATAATAAAACCCAAATAGATAATATAGAATAAAGTATAGCTTTGGAACCAAAAGGTGTGTCAGCATTATCTTATTTTATACTCTAATTGATTTGAGTGTTGTTGTTAAATTTCTTGAGTGGATGTGAATAGGTTTCTTTCCCTTTCTTGGCCTTATTTTGTTAATCTGTAAAATAAGGTTGGTTTGGATCAGTAGTTTCTATGACCCATAGTCCTCCAGAAATTTTTAAATGATTGAATTATAATTGTGAATCTAGGTGGTATACCTGACTGGCTAAAGATAGAATTTTTCAAAAATACTATCCCAAGAGGGTTCTTAAAGAAATTAGGAACCACTGCACTCTAAGCTTTAAAAAACTCACTGCAGAGTTCTTTTTAGTATTAGATTATACCAAGCAGTAGTGCAAAGATAGGTAATTAGCATATCTTCCATCAAAATATTATTAGTGACAAGAAAATAAATTGAAAGTTGACTTTACTTGCAGAATTAATAGGTATAATTTTACATCCTGATAGTCAATAGTCTTATATCCTCACTTTGACTTACATATTGAATCATTCTTAGTAGGTTTGCCAAATTAGCAAAGCAGCTTCTTTTGGCCCATTCTCCTAGAATAGTGGTGGCCAGCCTATGAACCATAAAGCATGAATTGGATCTAACACACAAACTGGTATTTTCAACGAGAAATGGACTGAATAGTTTCAGATTTACAGAGAAGTTGCAAAGATAGTAAGAGAGTTCCCATAAGCGCCACACCCTACTTCCTATGTTATCAACATTTTTTTTTTTTTTTGGATACCAGGGATCGAACTCAGGTCCTTGCGCTTTGCTTGTGCAGCAGGCGCGCTGAAACCACTGAGCTAAATCCCCAGCCCGTTATTAACATTTTTTACAACACAATTAGTTTATTTGCCATGACCAGTGAACTTTCCTCAGATTTACTTATTTTTCACTTAATGTACATTTTCTGTCCTAGGACACATTACCTTTAGGAGTCACGCCCCCCCCGTATCTGTAATAAGTCTGTCAGATTTTCATTGTTTTTGCTGACACTGACAGTTGCAAGTTATACTGGTCGGTACTTTATGGAATACCTCAAATGGGCTTTGTCTGATGCTTATCTCTGTACACTTTGGGAGGAAGACAGGTAAACTGCCCTTCTCATCATATGCCACCAAACATCAAGGTGACAACACTGTGGATGTTGACTTTGATCACCTGGCAGAAGCAGTGTTCGTATAGTTTCCTTTCCACACTGTACAACTGGTAAAAAGTCACTATGTACAGTCCATACTTAGGAAGTGAGGAGTTATGTGGAGGTGTGTATGTAAATTTTTTAGAATTTTTCTGCATAGATTTATTATATTCATTCAGTGCTGTTTTATTGCTCAACTTATTCCAGGATCAGCCACTGGGAGTTCTTTCAGTTGGCTTCGATGTCCCTTTGACAGGCCTCCATTATTGTGGGTTTCCTTTCTAATCACCTTTCAACTCTCTGACATTCCAAGATACATACTGTAGGCTCATCTTGTACATTCACTGCCCCAACCCCACAAGGAAACATTTCTCCAAGGAACTCGTTTTTTTAGAGAAAGGTATTAGAAGCCAAGATCTGGCTGCTAGTTGTGCTCATTGCTGCTGGGGTGTCATTGCTATGTCGGCCCTAAGCACACTTACTTCTAGTATGTTGTACTTTGATCAAAAAGATAAAATTGAAGGGGGGAATGGGAAAAAAGAGGCGAGATGTGTCACGTACAAGTGCAAATTCCCTACGGTTAGTGTTATTATGTATGCCTAAAATGTACCAATAAATGTTTTGCTATAAAAAAAAATCCCAAAAGATAAAATCAGCTGGGTGTGGTGGTGCATGCCTGTAATCTCAGCACTCAGGAGGCTGAGGCAGGAGCTCGAGGCTAGCCTGGGTAACACAGTGAGTTCAAGGCCAGCCTGGACTACATAGCACGACTCTCTCAAAAACATAAAAACCTCACCAAACCACCACCACCACCAGCTGTAAATCATAAAAACAGAAAGATACTTGCAATACATGTCTAAGACATACTTAAGTGAATCAAGTTGAAAAATGCCTGAATATTTAAATTAATCTGAAGTAATTTTTTTGGGGGGGGGTACCAGGGATCAAATGCAGGATCTGGCACTTGCAAGGCACGTGAGGTGCCACTGAGCTAAATCCCAGGCCCAATCTTAAGTAATGTTTACACCCATTCCCAGGGAAAAATTATAGGAAAGTTGCTTCTTTTGGCAATCACTATTTCTGTATTATCTGAAAATAATTTTTTCTCACAAAGCATCTATTTATATGATTTAAGATAATTTAAAAATAAATCATTCAGTAAACAAAATGTTAAGAATTTTAATTGATTCATCACAAAGGCATTGAACAAACAATAATGTTAATAAAAATTTTTAAATAAAAGAATTTTTAAAATAGCAGTGCAGAAAATAGCATTAAAATGTTTGCATAATTACACTCATTTTAACACTTCCATATTCCTTTTAGAACCACATCAACTTACAGGCGAACAAAACTACATCTGAACAGACAGCAAGACAACTTGGAAAACTTACTTAAAGTCTTATTGCCAAAGAATGGTTTTAAATGACTTAAAAAGCAAAACAATATGAATTACGTTTTGCTTTTCAAAGTACCCAAAAATTACCCATAGCAATATGTGTACAGTGTTTACAGGCTGTCATAATCCTCTCTGGTCCATCAGCTTAGATATATTTATTAACCTTGGTCTAGTTACATTTTGCAAAGACTTTCGCCAGACATCTCAAAACAAGTGAGGTGTATTTTTAACAAGCAAAAAAACTCAAACATGAAACCAAATGAATCATTCGATCCCACTAAGCATTTGTTTTGTTAATGACCTCAATTACTAGTAACAAGTTCCCTAAATATAAGCAGCATTACCCATATTTTCATATAGTAAAAATTAATGAAATGACAATAGTACAGTAAGTATAATTTCAATTAAATCTGATAGATGGTGTGTATGTGATTGATTGGCTTCTGGAAAAAGATTAACATATTAAAGTATAGAAATTTGTTTTACATAAATGGGTATGGCATATGTTACTCATTCCTTACCATCTTTTATTACTAATTAGAAATTCAAAACAGTCTCTAAATATATTGAACTGAGCTTCTACAGATAACTCATGTAAAGTGAGAACTTTGTATAGAGAATTCAGAAATTATCTTTGAAAACTGGGCATAGAAATTATTTGCCTGGGTTTGGATTTTCTTCTCTGCTTCTGAGGAGGCAAGATAATCCTGGTCTAAAATCATACTGCTTTATACAAGACAAGTGGTGATATTTCTGTAGAAACCAGCTTGCTTTGTCAATGTTCTTATACAGGAAGCCAGAAAATTTCCAATTATGGCTATAAAGTTCCATAATTACACTTAGATTGCTAATCAATATCCAAAGATTTTTTCCTTTCAACAAACTTATTCTTGACTTTCCAAATCATAAGGAACATAACTATGGGGATGTGTGTTTCAGCAGTTGTTATCTTGATATTAATTTGTTTATCTGAACTTATCCATGTAGTAACTGTTTTATAGTTGGAATTGGTGTTAACTATTAAAATTATATACAAGGAAATTAGGCGTGTTGCAGTACTTGGTTGCAAATAACTTGCCATCTGGTGTAGGGTCAGAAAATGCTATTTCATTTGTGCTCAGGAAACAGCCAAACATGAAGCAATTCCTAGAAAAAGAGGAAAAGATGTTTTAACAATGGAATCAACTTAAAATTCTGATTAAACATGACCACAATTTAACTAGTCTTTATTAAACCAATGTTAATTAAAAACTGACTTCAATTAGAAGTTAAGATACAAGCTTCTAATACACTTACTACCGCAGAACACAATATTTATTATTAAACTTACAATCTAAAAATACTGATTAGTTTTCATTGTCTTTACAAGTATATCACCTATAAAAAGAAGAAAAGACCTGTGTATTTCAGCTTTTACTTTATTAACTCATACTGTGAATTTTCAAAAACCCCATCTGAACCTCAGCTGCTTCTTATGCAGAACTAGGGACAATACTGTATTGCTGTAAGGACTCAAACAGGCATCATCTGCACAGAGTTCGGTCTGAGGCTCCTCACATACAGATTAGCCATGATTATGTCACCTGTATCTTCAACTCCGATGTATGAGAAAAGATGTTTTTTCAAATGAGTATTTTATTAAGTTTCAGGATAACTTATTTTCTTACTCATTTTTGCTTATAGATAACCTACTGCCTTACTAAGTATGACATGCAGACCAGCAACATTCAGCATCGCCTGAGAGCTTACTCAATTGCACATTCTCAGGTCCCGCCCCACATCCCCTGAATCACGTTTTTTGGCTGTGCTGGAGATTTACCCTAGGGCCCTGTGCATGCTAGGCAAGCACTCTACTCCAGAGCTAACACCAGACTTTTTCTATTTTTTATTTTGAGACACAGTCTCACTAAGTTGCTCAGGCCAGCCTCAAACTTAGGGTCCTCCTGCCTCAGCTTCCCAGATAGCTGGGATTACAGGCCTGCATCACCACACCTGGCCACAAACTACATTTTTTTGGTACTGGGGATTGAATTCGGGTCCTTGCGCTTGTGCAGCAGGTGGTGAAACTACTGAGCTAAATCGCCGGCCCCACAAACTACATTTTAACAATACCCCCAGGTGACCCATATGGGCATTCAAATTTGAAAAACTGGATTACTTCCTGGAAAAACAAGGTTAGGTACTGGTATTCCTCATATCAAATTACTCTATTAATCTCAATATAAAATATAGGTTTAGTATCCCTTATCTGAAATGCTGGGACCAGTAGTATTTCAGTTTTCAGATTTTTTTTAAAAATTGGAATATCTATATACAAACTTTACAAGCATCCTTAGTCTAAAAATCTGACATATAAAGTGCCCCAAAATATGACACTGTAAAAAGTTTCAAATTTTGGGCCAGGGATTTAGCTCTGTGGTTCCGGCGCCTGCCTTGTAAGCGCAAGGTTCTTTGTTTGATCCCGGGTACCAAAAACAACCAAAAACCAAAAAAAACACCTCTATTTAGGGCTGGGGATTTAGCTCAGTGGTTCTGCCACCTGCTTTACAAGCACAAGGTCCTGAGTTTGATCCCCAGTACCAAAAAAAAAAAGCTTCAAATTTTGGAGCATTTAGAATTTTGAATTTCTGGATTAGGTTTGCTTAACCTGTGTACAAACGAGAGACTTCCTATCAAAAATACAGCACAGACACTAATTTTCTTTACAGAGCCCTTTGTAAGCATGTGGTTGACTAGAATTATAGCTCAAGACTAGATCCCCATAGCGGTCTGGCATTCATTCTATACAAGTGACTAGAATTCAAAAGGCTTGAGTACTGCTACTCACTGTGGTCACTGGTTTGTAATCTCTCTAGGGATGTGTTCTGTATAGAAGCTAAGAGGATATGTTTTAGAACTTTTCTTTGTAATTTAAATTAGGTAAATTAACAATCATGCTTGTTTGCCACATTACACAAGGCTACTTCAAAATGTATGCACAGAAGTTTAAAATACAGAATCGCTAATTTTTTTGTTCAAATGTAATTCATATGCCGTAAGAGTCATCCTTTACAAGTATATAACTCTGGTTTTTGGTTTATTCACGAAAAATATACAACTACCACTCCAAAAAGAAACCCTGTATCTGTTATTCACTCTCACCCTTCCCTCAGCTAAGAATTGGCTTTCTGTCTCTGTAGAGTTGCCTCTTCTGGCCTTTTTTTATCTAAAGAGAACTAAACAATAAGGGGTCTTTTCAATTAGCACAATGTTTTCAAGGTTCATCCAGGTTGTAGCATGTTTCAGTACTTTATCATGCCTTTTTATAGCTCCTGTCCCATTGTTACTGAATGAACATACCACATTTTATCTACCTGCTCATGACTGGCTGCACTACTCACATTTTTGGCTATTATGAACAATGCTGCTATGAACCTTCATGTATAGGTTTTCATGTGGACTTATGCTTTCACTTCTAGATGTATACCTAAAAGCAGAAGCCAGGCAGGGTGGCACATGTCTGTAATCCCAGCACTCTGCAGGCAGAGGCAAGATTGCTGAGTTCAAGGCCAGCCTGAACTACATAGCAAGACCCTGTCTCAAAAACCAATAAACAAAAACAAAAAAAAGAGCAGAATCTCGGGGTTAAACTGCAAGACTATTCCAAGGCAGCTATACCACTTTACATTCCACTGGGAAAGTGTAAGGATTGTAATTTCTTCCACATTCTCACCAATTTTTTTATCCTCCCTCCCTTTCTTAACTTATATTTATCCTGGTGGGTGTGAAGTGGTATCTCACTGGTTTTGGTTTGTGATTCTTCTTATAACTGAAGATGTTGAACATATTTTTATGTGCATGTCAACCATGTGCATTTCTTCTTTGAAGAAATGTGTACTGAAATCCTTTGGCTGTTTTTTTCTTTCTTGAGATGGGGTCTCACTATATTGTCCAGGTTGGCTTCAAAGTTGCCATCCTTAGGGATTTAGCTCAGTGGTTCTGGCGCCTGCCTTAGAAGTACAAGGTCCCGAGTTCAATCCCCGGTACCCCCCCCCCCCGCAAAAAAACTATAAAACAAAAATAAATTTATGGGCCAGGGATTTAGTTCAGTGGTTCCGCCAACTGCCTTGCGAGCGCAAGGTCCTGAGTTCGATCCCTGGTACCAAATAAAATAAAATTAAAAAAAAAAATAAAGTTGCTATCCTCCTGCTTCAGTCTCCCAAGTAGCTGGGATTACAGGTTGTTGTGCCACTATGTCTGGCTTCCTTTGCTCATTTTAAAATTGGGTTATCTTTCTATATACTGGACTTTTAGACCCTTATTAGATAAAAGATTTGCAAATATTTTCTCTTCTGTGGGGTTCTTACTAATTTACTTTTCTGTATTTCTTTTATTAAACCTATATTTTCTATCAGTTACATTCAATGAAATGCAATTTTCTATGGTTTGAAAATAATAATAATCTGGTCTTATATTTTCTATTATCAGCATTATTATTATTTTGGTGTTAAGGACAGAACCCTGCTAGGCAAGACCTGTAACATATCAGCCCATATTTTCTGTTTTTTGTTTGTTTTTCCATTTCTCTTTTGTTTCCCTAATGGTATAGGGCAGTGATGACGAACCTTTTAGAGTTTTCAATGATATAAACAGTCTGCTGTAGCATGCATGCCATAGGTTCACCACCACTGGTATAGGGGACTGAACCCAGGAAGCACTGAGTATGTCCCAGCCTTTTTTATTTTTATTTTGAAACAAGGTATAGCTATGTTTTTCAGGCTGGCCTTGAACTATTGATCCTTTTGCCTCAGCCTCCCAAGTAGCTGAGATTACAAGTGTGCCACCATTCATTTTTCTAGTAATCCATTTTTATTTTATATTTTATTTTATTTTAATAAAAGTGTTGGTCTGTAACAAGTTAAACTAGGCCTTTACCACAAAAGCACTGGCCAGAAATGCTGTATATTTGGCATTTTTTAGTACCAATGCTTGACTTTATCTTGACTTTAACGGTATTTATATAGAAGGATCTTACCAATATCCATTCCTTTGGCTCATGAATCAAGAGAGGTTCTGGGAAAGCTAAGAACACAAGGTTCAAGGTCTAGACCCATTTTGTTTTCTTACCTGAGAGTATCTACCAGTCGTCTCGCAATGCGCTTTCTTCTCTTCAGTTTGAAAACCCAGATCCTACTTATCCCACACACGGCAGGTTCTGGTACATTTGAACACTGCCAGGCTCTAGGACATTCTTTAGAGCCCGAGGATTCTGGGCCCATTGGCTCAGACAGTACACGGAAGGCCTGCAATGATATACAGAAGCTGCTATAGGTAAAAAAAAGTAAGTTCACGTTTATTTTTTTTAATTGCTTACACTAAATCTTAGTACCAAATGTTAATCACATGACCACCAAAAGTATTAAAATCCTTGAACATGTCTTGAATTTTAAGCAATTAGTCATATAATGCTTATAAAATACCAGCAATATGGAAATATCCCCCATCCTAGTCCACTCCATACATTATGAAAATTTTTTTTGATGAAAAACTATAAAAAAATCAAACTCTTAAATTTCCCTTATTATCTCCATCTTGTAATGCATATATGATAACCCAAGAAATTAATTCAACACTAAAGAAGATTTTTACTCATAACTATGATATCCGTTTGATATCTAATTTTTTCTAGTACTAGGGATTTCTCACAAGGTTACATCCCCAGTCCTTTTTTAATTTTTATTTTGAGATGGAGGTCTTGCTAAGCTGCCCAGGTTGGGCTTGAACTTGGAATCTTCCTCAACTATTAGGAATATTGGGAATATTGGTATGCCACCATGACCAGCCTTTTGATATTAATTTCTTTTTAAAACCTTTTTATTTTCAAATAGTTATAGACGCACAAAATGAAAAAACAACATAAAAAGAGACCATGTATCCTTCACCTTGTTTTTCCCAACTTTCATAACCATACTACACAATACCTAAACGAAGAAATTAATATTGGCACATGTGCGTATAATTCCATGACATTTCACCATAGGAGTCTGTACTCATTTAGCCACCACCACAATGTACAGAACTACTGTATCCCCACAAAGGCCTTCCTCTTGCTACCTCTTTAGAGTCATAGCCACCCTCCCCGTGGGCCCCAATAATCCCTGGCAACTACTAATCTGTTCTGCATTTCTGATTGTTATTCTGAGAATGTCATATACGTAGATTTATACAGCATGTGACCTTTGATTTCACTCACTACAATACCCTCAAGATCCATCCATGTTGTTACAGATATCTATAACTGCCAAATAATACTACATCATATGGGTGTATTATAGTTTGTTTAACCATTCACCTACTAAAAGTCAATTTGTTTCCAGGTTGTGGCTATTAGAAATAAAGCTGCTATGAACATTTATTTACACAGGCTTGGTGTGGACATGTTTTCATTTTTCTCTAATACATGCCCAGGAATATGACTGCTGGGTCATAAAGTATAAACATATGTTCAGAGTTTTTGGAAACTGCCAAACTTTTTCCAGAGTGGCTATAACATTTCATGTTTCTACTACAATGGTGAGAGATCTAGTTTCCCTGCATCTTGCCAGTATTTGGTCTTGTCTTTTTTTATCCAATTGTACCTGTTCTGATAGAAGTGCATTTAATTAAATTTTAGCTACATAAAGAAAACTTGACTTTAGAACTGAGAATGGGTAGAAGATGTATCAGTTAGTTGGCTATATTTGCCTATTACCCCTACATAAGCAGTGTCACTCTTTAAGATCAAAGAAAGAAAAGGCCTTCTTAATAGAAAATATAAAAGAGGTGATATGTAAATACCAAATAGTTTCTCTAGTGTGAGAAACTGAAAGTGTAAATAAGGATGAAAATGACTAAAATGAATAATTGATAATTTGAAATAGGAAAAGGTCCAAAGGTGGAGGGGTGGAGGGGAGGGCAAAGGGAAAGGGAAGAAGGCAAAGGGAAAGAGAAGAAGGGAAAGGAAAAATTATGAGAAAGAAAAAAAAAAATGGAAACAAAGTCTATGTAAATAGGGAAGGGTGGAGGGGGTTAAGGGCACACAGGTAATGGGGGAAAAAATAAGAACTAAGATACATCATGTTCAGGTAGAAGCACCCAATGATAAATGTAAATGTATTCTATACCTAAAATGTACCAATAAATATATATATATATATATATATATATATATAAAAGAGGTGAACAGTGTCCTTTAAAACGTGTGTGGGGCACGGGGGAGTAAAAGTGCAGAGCTTTTGTACATCATTCAAGTTGTCACTGGCTTAAAGACCAGCAAAAGATATCTTTGGAAGCCTCATGCTAACCACAAAGCAAAACTCTATCCTAAACATAAAAAAGACAGAGGAAGGAACCAAAGCATATTCCTACAGATCACTGATCACAAAGGAAGACAGTAAGACAGGAAGAAAGAAACAAAGGGTCCAGAAAACAATTAACAAAATGTCCTAATCTACCAAATTATTTTATATGTAAGTGATCAGAATTTGACAATCAAAAGACAGTGGCTAAATGAATGAAAAAAACACGACCCAACTATAGGCTGCCTACTTTCAAACTCATTTTACAAGGCCAAGTTGACCTGGTACTAAGGCCAGACAAGGACACTATACAAAAATGAAATTGCACGCCAGTATCCCTGCTGAACACTGATGCAAAAGTCATAAACAAAATACTAACACATCAAATTTAATAGCATATTAAAAGGACCATTCCCTATGATCATGTGGAATTCATCCCTGAGATACAAGAATGGTTCAATATACAGAAAGCAATAAATGTGATATACAACATTAAAAGAATGACATATAGGGCCAGGAATTTAGCTCAGCGGTTCTGCCGCCTGCCCCATAACCAGAAGGACCCGAGTTCATTCCCCAGTACCAAAAAAAAAAAAAGAAAAAAAAAAAAAGATAAAAAATATATACATAGGGAACTCAATTCAATAGCAAGAAAACAAATAACCTGATTAGAAAAAGGGACAAGGACCCAAAGAGACATTTCTCAAAAGAAGACAAATGGCCAACAACTATATGAAGACATGCTCCACATTACAACCATGAGGGAAATGCAACTTAAAACTACAATGAAATAGGGCTGGGGATTTAGCTCAGTGGTTTTGCCACCTGCTGCAGAAGTGCAAGGACCTGAGTTCGATCCCCGGTACCAAAAAAAAAAAAACTACAATGAAATAGCGCCTTACACCTGTTGGAATGGTTATTATAAAGAAGACAAAAGACATCAAATGCTAGCAAAGATGTGGAGAAAAGGAAAACTTTATGCTGGTAGGAATGTAAATTAATAGAACCATTATGGAAAACATGATGGAGATCTCTCAAAAAATTAAAGAACTACCATATGACCCAGCAACTCCATTTCTAAGTACAGATCCAAAGGAAATTAAAAAAATTTGAAGAGCTATCTACCTTCTTGGGTTCACTGTAGCATCACACCCAACAGCCAAGATGGGAATCAATGTAAGTGTTCACTAATGAATGAATGGAGAAAGAAAATGTGGTGTGTATGTATACAATGGGACACTAGCCATAAAATAAGATGAAATCTTGTCATTTGTCACAACACAGACAAACCCATAGAACATTACACTGAGCAAAATCAACCAGGCACAGAAAGACAGGTATTACATGGTCTAACTTAAATGTAAAATCTAAAAAGTTGAACTTACAGAAGACAGCAGATGGAGGTAATGGGGGAATGTTAGTAAAAGGGTACATACAACATTTCACCTAGGATAAATTCTGGAGATCTATGGTACAGCATAACAACTTCAGTTAAATGAACATTTGAACTGCTCAGACTATAGATCTTAAATATTCTCATCACAAAAAATAAGTGAGTTGATAAACATGCTAATTGGCTTGATTTAGGAATTTCATAATGTATACATATATCAAAACATCAAGTTGTACACTGTAGCATATATAATTTTCACTTGTCAATGACACCTTAATAAAGCTGGTCATGGAAAAGAAAAACTAAAGTGGGCACTTTTACTGCTAATGATACAAACCAGATGCTTTTCTAACTTCTAATAATAGAGACTGTTTTCCAGAACATCTATCTAAAGTAGATTCTACTTAGGGGATAAGTGGTGACTATCTAAATAAAGGGACTACAAGATTTGCTTATCTAAAACTGTATTTTATAGACTAGGTATAGAAATGACTACCTGCAGAAATGGTTACATAAACATAAGACTTACCCTGCTTATAAAAGCAAAATATTAAATATAATGTAATAAATGACTTCATTATCCACATGGTTAGAGATTTTAATGGAAAAAAAAGTCATTAATGGTATCGGTCTTAAATTTCTGAGACTTCTTCCAACTACTTTATTTTGCTCACAAATTATGCTAATAATTTAAGAAACATATAACATACCTGTTTGATGGGCTCTGCAATTAAACACCCAACTACCTTCTTATCATCAGAAACAAAGAGAAAAGTTTTGGTTTTCTCTGGACACCTGGGAATAAGTTGCTGGAAGCCCAATTCATAATCAACAAGTTCTTGGACATCTGTTACCTAATGATGTTAAAAACCAAAATGTGAATTTCTTTTAAAAACAATATATACAAACAAAATACATTTGTTTGTATAAAATGTATGATTATTAATGTTTTAGCCACTTCTATCTCTACTTTCTAAATTTACCAACCACAAAATATTCCACTATTGATGCATATATCTGTTACTTCAGAGACAGGGCTTTAAGAACCTATTTTAAGGGGTACTTTTGGCAGAAGTTCAGGTTTTAGCAGAATCCAGATCTTCCTGGGTAAGATAACCAGTAAGAAGTGCTAAAACACTTGGGCCAGGGATTTAGCTCAGTGGTTCCACCACCTGCCTCGCAAGTGCAAGGACCCGAGTTTGAAACAGACGAGGGGCCATTAATTTCTCCACACTACAAAGTTTTTTTTTAAGGAGGGTCTCACTGTGTAGTTTAGGCTGGCCTCAAACTCATGCTAATTGTCCTGCCTCAGCTTCCTGAGTGCTGGGATTACAGGCATGTGCCATAATGGCCAGCTGCAAAGTTCAGTTTTTAGCTTTTAGAAGGGGAAGATACAGGTAAAAGATAAGTTGTAGTGCCTCATGTGGCTCCCCTATTCTCCAAAGGACACTCTTCTTTTTCTTGGAATTCTAAGTGGAATTGTATGAACCGTTACAGAAGTCTTCCATGAGCATGCATCAAAATGGCTTGTCTATTAGCAAAGTGGTTTACACCTCAATACAGGTTGATTTCTTGGGGGTGAGGGAAGAATGAAGATGAAAAAGATAATGTTCTACACCTTTCTGATAGCGTAACTTGGATCGCGTGGCAGGACCAACAGGATCTTTCCATCCCAAAACTCTGCCACTACGCGTTCTCTTTTCCAGCCCTGCCAAAGAAGAAAAAAAAAAGAGGTTTGATTTGTGAAGAGGAGACAAGCCAAAAAAAATCACATTTATTAATTTGATCTGGGGAGGACAAAAGATCAAACAATGATATAAAAAAATGAAACCCAATTTAAATACGGTAAAACAAATAAAAGATGCTTAAAACCAGTGCCCTCAATGGGCTCACACCCTACTGGAAGACATGCATACATCCATTCTGTTACAAACAAAGCAAAGTCAAGTAAAAGCCCTCCATACAATCATAGAGAAAAAACGCTGGATTACTCAGGGTGGGCAGTAGGCTAAGCTGAGTTTCCGGGAAAGTTTAATAAGAGTCTACTAGGCCCAGCATGGTGGCTCCCACCTGGAATCCCAGCTGCTCAGTACACCGAGACAGGAGGATCCCAATTACACAGAAACAGACTGATGGTGTAGAACAGTGTCCACTAACGAACCATGCAGATGTGGGAATATAGCATACATTAAAGGAAGCACTGACAATCAGTAGGGAACGTGAGGCAGTCAAACAGTAATGCTGAACATTTGGCAAACCTTTAGAAAAAAATACAAAGTTAAGATAAACACCTCCCCAGGGAGTACCATGCCTCAAAGATTCCTAATGGATTAAAGATCCAAATATAAAATTTATAGCTAAAAAAGTATCTTAAGAAAATACAGGAAGAACTGTTTACTGGGAATGACATTCTTGACAAACTCAGAGGTCACACATCAACTAAAAAGTTTTAATTTTATGTGTGGCAGCATATACCATAAAAAGGTTAAAAATCACTGAGTGTGGTGTCAAATGCCTGTAATCCCAGCGCTTAAGAGGCTGAGGCAATAGTATCACTTGTAAGTTTAAGGTCACCCTGGGCTATATAGTGAGACTGTCTCCAAAAGGAAAAAAAAGTAAATTAAAAATCAAGTAATGGTATTTTCTTGTATATGCAGAAAGATATACAAATACAGATGAAACTGTTTATGTTGGCTGCATACAGAGAGGAGAACTGGAAAGGGGAGAAAGAAATACCTGTCATTGGATATACTGTACCTTGTGAATGTTGAGGCATGAAAAATTACTATAATGAAAACATAAGTAAATTTAATCTTAAAAGAACAAGGAGAAACATTTGTCATATAGAAATAATTTATGAGATAAAGGTTAAACACCTAACAAGTTACCATAAATTAAAGAAAGCAACTCAATATAGACTATAATCACTCCTCATCAAAGGAATTTACTTTGTTCCAAAGGTAGGAGCTTAAACCTCAAGGGGGAATGTGCCACAGAGTAAGAAGGGCAGGGGCCAGAATGTGAAGGGCTCTACTGACCACAGGACTTCATTCTTAGTGCAACAGAGACTGTTAAACTTAGAGCACAGAATGACAACATTTCATCTGTATGTATGTAAACCTATTTTAAGAAGTACTCTAATAGCACTGTGGAATCCCAGGAAGGAAACTGTTTTTAATAAACCAAGCTAAAAATATTGTAAAGGTATAAACTATGGCAATAAAAATAGAAGAAAAGGATGTGTTTGAGCAGAAGGTACAGTCATCAAGGCCAATGACAGGATGTGTGGGGACTAAAATGGTGCTTGATAGATCGGAGAGCTCTCCTCTTACAGCAGAAAAGGCCTGGAGAGGTTGTAGAAAGGCTACATTTTCTAAAGTTATCGCAAAAGAAAGTACAGTAGGGAGAGGGGGATCTCCACAAGGTGAGAGTTTGCGAGGGATTTTCTTTTTTTTTTTTCCCTTTGACTTTTTTTTAAGAAAGGGTCTCACTATGTAGTTCAGGTTGGCCTTGTACTCATGGCAATCCTCCTGCTTCAGCCTCCCCAGGGAGATTACAGCCACACACCACCATGCCTGGTTTAGATTGAATTTTGTATTTTGTTTGTTGAGCTCAGAAAACTAGGGGTCAGAATCTAGGGTAGTTGAGTACTCAGCTGAGGTCAATACATCTCTTATACTGAGATCGTAAGTCTGAAGCAGTACTATTAAAAGCTAACTTTTGGGCTGGGGATTTAGCTCAGTGGCACCGTGCCTGCCTTGCAAGTGCAAGGACCTGAGTTCGATCCCCGGTACCAAAAAAAAAAAAAAAAACTTTCTCATAAAAGCTAACTTTTGAGCTGAGGGTATAGTTCAGTGGCAGAGCACTTGCCTAACATACATGAGGCCTCAAATTTAATTCCCAGCACTGCAAAACCACAACACCTCACTCAAATTTTAAGCACAAGAAAATTGCAGACAATGAAATATTTATGGATGATTAGATCTTTTAATATTTAACGGAAATGTCTAAGACAGTTTTACCTTTAGAAAAAACTGAAAAGCTATTTTTGACTCACTGTGTATTTGATTCCTTCCATAAATCGGTGATGATACTGGATATGTTGCATCTCATCTTCGGGATTAGACGCAGTGTAGATCATGCCACAAGACTTACACATAGTAGGCCCAAAATATTTCTGACCTGCATCCTGTAATTGAAGTGGGGGAAAAAGCCATACACATATTTCTACAAATAGCTCTAAATTAAATTCATGTAATCATTCATTCAAATTTCCCCTTTATTTTCCTTTTATGCTGGCACAAGTAAAATACTAAATAAATATCCTTCCTCAAAACAAATCAAAATGAGAAAAGACTTAAAAATGTTATAAATTACTGAATAGAATTTTCTTTTTGAATGCAGTGTTGAAAAACAAAACATGATCCCTTATTAGACTGACAGTTATAGTAAGATTAAACCAGCTGCACGTGGTGGTGCATACCCGTAATCCCAGCTCTCCAGAGGCTGAGGCAAGAGGATTGCTGCAAGTTTGGGGCCAGCCTGGACTGCACAGTGAGACCCTGTCTCAGAAACACCCCTCCCCAAAGATTAAACTACAAAAATTATACTACGGTGAACAATGGAACTTCTTTATCAAACTCTTAAAATGAAAGAATTAGAAAAGCCTTATTTCAAAGAGGAAGGGAAAATTTTCAGGACTATAATATTAATTACAGTGTTTCTTCCTTAAATGGCTGGAAATGTTAGATTCTTTAGTCTCAAAAAATATTAAAATTCTTAATTCTAAGAGTTAAAAATAAATACACATGATAAAAGTTCAAGAACAGCACAGAAAAATTCCCAAGTATAGGGAAGTCAGGGATATCCAAATGTCACAACGGACAGGTTTCATTCTCAGAAGGCATTGCTAAATCCCACTGAAAATGCCACACAGGAGTTGGCAAGTTTTTCCTGTAAAAAGCCAGAGGTAAATATTTTAAGCTTTTTGAGCCACCTTTAAAAATGTTAACCATTTATAGCTCATAGGCTATGGCTGAAATTTCATCCATGCCGTATTTCGCCCATGCCATAGTTTACCAAACCTTGGTCCAACCGAATATACTATTCCCATGAAATCTTCTGTTGAACAACAATAATTTTTCTTACTTGGAGACATTTCATTCATCAGTGTCCTACTTAAACACTAGCATTGAGCTATCAGTATAAGTCTACTGACTAGTCTCCTACTACTGCTGCCCCTACAACCAAACTACTATATACAAAGTGCGGAGCACTTATAACCCAAGTTAACTCTGGGGTTTGAATTACTCACAATGATGAGCTGGTCTTTGGTTTCTTTATTTGTATCTCTGGTATTCACGTTTTTTGGTGCATTGGTCTGTTTTGAGAAGTTAATACCTGTTGTAGGTCCCACAGAAGACTCTTCTTCAGCTGGAGATCTTGAATCAGAAAGCTGATAAATACTACATAACAAGGAGAAAACTGAGGCCCACTTAGAGAGCGGTCAGTAATTTACTCAAGAGAATGTAACTAGTGAATACTGAATCTCACAGGCCCATAGGCAACCACAGTAATCAGCATATTGGAATCAAATAACTTTCTACTTAGGTAATGAGGTTAGTAAGTTTACTTTTCCTCATACGGACAGCAGCATGCCAGTACTTTGAAATTTTTAAGAAAGGAAGGAAGGAAAAAAGAGAAAAAGAAAAAGGAAAGAAAAAAGGAAAGAAATGAAGGAAAGGGAAGGAAGGAAGGAGAAAGACTTTAGTTGGATAAACATAGTTGAGGCAATCTTTAGGTATTAGTAAAGAATGTTGAGATTTGACTTAAGAGGTTCCAAACTGGAAGCCCTCAGCAAATCCCACTAGTAGATACATTTCGGTTGTTCCACACTTTTTTTTTTTTTGGTTTTTTGAGACAAGGTCTCACTATGTAGTTTAAACTGGCCTTGAACTCTCAGCTAGCCTCTTGCCTCTGCCTCCAGAGTGTGGAGATTACAGGCGTGAGCCACCATACCCAGCCCCACACATTATTTAAGTCTGGATTAGCTACCAATATTTTCAAATCTAAGAGTTCACTTAAAAATGTGTACTTCCAGGCTGAGCATGGTGGGCACAACTGTAATCCCAGCGCTTGGGAAGCTGAGGTAGGAGGATTGCCACGAGTTTGAGACCAGCTTGGGTTACATAGTGAGTTCAAGGCCAGCCTGAACTACATAGCAAGACCCTGTCTCCAAAAAAAAGTGTACTTCGGATATTTTGGAGATACTAACAGATCACAAGACCGCTATTCCTTTTTTTGGGGGGTACCAGGGATCGAATTCAGGTCCTTGCACTTGTGCAGCAGGCAGAGAAACCACTGAGCTAAATCTCCAGCCCCGAGACCTCTATTCTTTTAAAAAATCTTAGTTGGAGGGGCCAGGGATTTAGCTCAGTGGTTCTGCCGCCTGCCTCGCAAGCCAAAGGGCCTGAGTTCGATCCCCAGTAACAAAAAAAAAAATTTTAGTTGGAGTTATATGGGATTGCCCTTCCAAATGGGGCATGCATTCTCTCGTTGGTCCCAGTCTACCCAGTCTTGCTGAGATCTTTTCCATCTCTCAACTCTAAATCCTTATGCCATTTCTGTGAGAGGTACTGATTTCATCTATTCTCAACATATTATCCCATTCCCCTCTGGGTGAAGAAGAAAATACTCTCCAAATCAAGTAGTACAAGAATGAATAAGAGACCCATGTGATTAATAAAACTTAGACATTAAAGCAAGAACAATTCCTACCTTTTCGTATTGCCTGAAGACACACTGAAGATAGGATGGACAAGGGACTCAGGAGAAACTGGTGGGAGAAAAAAAAGCCAATAATTCAAATAAACAAATAACATTAAACCTTTAAATCATAACACTTTAAGGGTTAATAAGACAATATTATTATCTGACTTCAGGACTTAACTATAATCAATACAGGTGTATTAGCAAAAGGAGTTAGGGCTGGGGATTTAGCTCAGTGGTTTCACTGCCTGCTGTGCAAGTGCAAGGACCTGAGTTCAATCCCCGGTGACAAAAAAAAAAAAAAGCAAAAGGAGTTAACAAACAGATAGATGGAGCAAAATAGAGAGTCCAGAAATAGACCCACACAAATGCATTCAACCGATTTTGACAATGAGACAAATGTATTTCAGTGGAGAAAGCATAATCTTCAACAAGGTGCTGGAATAACTAGATGTCCATATGCAGAAAATTTTCCATGTATCTTATATAAAAAGTAACTGAAAATAGATCACAGATCAAAATGTAAAATATAAAAAAAAATAAACTCTGTGGTACTGAATTAGAGGAGACATCAATATGAACTCATGCTATTATGTACAGATGGAGACATACAGAAATAATTAGGTATATATTATAAATATATTTCCTAGCTCTGATAAGAGGGCCTAGAAGCAACAATATGCAAGCAGCAACAAGCATATCCAGAGTCCAGATCTTAAGTTTCTAAGTACTGTGCCACTGTCCAATAAAAGTAACCAGGGTTCTGTGGAGAAATTGCTGATTCTAATGCTGGGACAGAGAAAATACAAGATGAGCCTACAGCATCTCATCATGATGGGAATTAAGGAAGTGCTCAAAAAACAAAAAAGATGAGACATGCCAAAGAGAACCAACCTGAAAAAAGATCCCAATAGCTAAAGCTGAACAAAAAATATATAATGCAGGGGATTTAAATCCCAAATGTAAAATACATGAATCTATCACGATACATGTCCTTGAATTTATTTATTTATTTAACACAGTCCCACTGTCTTGAACTGATGGTACATGCCACCCAGCAATGGGACACACAAATTACGGCCCTGTTGTGAACCTGTTAAATGACTGAACACGAGAATGGAGAAGAGATCAACCTCCCTTACAGTGAAACTCCAAATAACATATATAGGTGTTTTCCCCTTCCAAGAGGAGTTTAATCTTCGCTGGTCCCTGAACGGATGGGCTAGACCTAGTGACTAGCTTCCTCAGGACAGAATAGGGAAAAAGAAAAATGGTAAGTTTATAGTGAAGAAACCTGTTACATACAGGCAAACCTAGAGTCCGGTACATACCACAGGTATCTGACCAGTATCCCTCAAGAATATCAGTCATGAAAACCACAGAAATAAGAGGTCAGTTTGGCCACAGTCAGTCATACTTTGTTTTGCTGAGACTTATTTTTAGCTTCAATTGTATCCCAGATAGTTTTTAAGCATTAGTGAGTTTTTTTGCCTAAAGTTTTAATCTAAAATCTCCTTGTCTTCTGCTTTTCGAAATGTCCTGTACAGTGCTTTATGAGAGACAACAGTTCCACAGAGAAAAACATAAAGATAATGTTATAGACACATTAGTAAAAAATAATTTTTAAAACTCAGAAAAATCACTGTATATGAATTTTATACTGACACACATAATGAAGCATTATTACAAGTCGCTAACCTCGTGTAAGAAATTTTCTTTTGTTCTCACCAAGAGAATCATCTGAAGGCAAATGCTTATTTTTATCAAATGTATATTCCTTTGAAGAAACTACTGCCCCTGATGAATCCTGAAAAGGAAGGTAAAAAGGTAAAGGTACTAAGAATTCTTAGTCGCTTTCTATTTAGTAAATGAACCCCAACAGATCTGTTTTTAAAGCAAAACATAGTTCATTATCCACTAATTCCATTATGTCATTTTTAAATCCTCAGAAAATTTCCTCAGTCTATTAAATGTATACCACTTTTTTTTTTTTTTTTCTTTTTTGGTACCGGGGATCAAACTCGGGACCTTGCGCTTGTGAGGCAGGCGCTGGAACCACTGAGCTAAATCCCCGGCCCCATATATCGCTTTTTAAAAGCTAATGTACACATACTGTAATTTGTCATCTTTGTCAAAAATGTATCTTCCAGATAAAGACGGCTAAATAAAGATTATAGACTATCCCTTCCATAATAAAATGAACATAAATGAGTAAAAGTGGGCAAAACCCAGAAGCCACCAAACTAGAAAGGGACAACTTATTGTTATTAATTTTTAAAAGGAAGTAGTAAAGAAAGCAGAAGAAATCCTGACACACTTTTCCAATACTGCTAATTCTGTGAGACTTAGGCACTAGATATCATGGGGAAAAAGGAAAAACTGATTAAAGCAGAACTCCTATTCAAGACTCTATCTTAGCCATTTCTCTGTGCTCCACGAATGGGGAAAGGGGATCCTTATACCTTTCAGATTCATCTTTAGCTAGCAAAGATGAATCTTACCAGTGGCTATTTAACCAAATCTTCAAATACTAGAGCCCAGCTGTAAAAATTTAAGATGCAAAAAAGTCCAGTGTCTCACACTCCTGAAAATGAGACAGAACTCAATACCTAGCTCTAAAGAATGAAGCTCAGAAATGAAAAATGGTGTTACAGAAAATTTATCTCTTTAGATATAGAAGTTGCAATTTCATTACTAAATAAGAGTAATTGGGACAGGGATAGGAAAATTGCCTTCTACTTTGTTTTGCTGAGATTTATTTTTAGCTTCAATTGTATCCCAGACAGTTTTTAAACTGGAAAATTTATATATAGTGAAGTCCAGAGGTATATACTTAAAGGAATACTGATAAATTTACATACTCATATATAAAAATCTCTATCAAGACAGTTTTTTAATAAATAGAATATTGGGCCGGGAATTTAGCTTAGTGATTCAGACACCTGCCTTGTGAGCACAAGCACCAAGTTCAATCCCCGGTACCAAAAAAAAAAAAATAATAATAATAATATTAAGAATTAGTGGAATTATACTGTCCTGGCTTAGCAGCAAGAAATGTATCACTTAACAATGTATTTGGCAATACTTAATAAACAGGAAGAAACATTTACAGGAGGGATTACAAACTTGAGTGCTTGTAAGAGCAGCAGTTAAGTAGTTAGTATAAACCTAGACTGGTCTAAAATACATATACCGACTTAATGAAGGGAAATGAAAAGCTCATAACTGCCAAATAAAATGATGTCAAATAGTATGACACTCAGCTACGAGAGATTACCATACAGCCTTTCAAACTGTAAAGATCAGGCTGGGCTTGGTAGTGCATGCCTGTAATCCCAGAACTTGGGACAGGCTGAGGCAGGAAGATGACTGCAAGTTTGAGGCCAGCCTGGGGTACATGGCAAGACCCTGTATGCAAAAACAAAAACAAACAAACAAACCAAAAAAACCCCACCAAACTGTATAGATCAAATTTTGTCCAGCTATATTACATATATTATTTACATTGAAGTTTTGTTAAATTGCCAGCTGTTTTTTAAAGTCATATATTTGGCTTTCTTTACCTTTAATTTCTCTTCATTTTTACTTCTTGGACTCAGCTCAATATTCGATTTCTCTTCTAGTAACAAGCACTTGGGCACTTGCTCTTTAACAGAAGGTTTTCTTTTCCATACAGCCTCTGCATCACAGTCTTCAATCACTTCTGAGTCATTCTTTTGGTGGAGACCCACTGATGGCTTATTTTCCAGAGACAATCTTCTAAGAGAGAGTTTTTTTCGACTAACAAAAAATGCTGCTCCACCCTGGAGTGTAGTTTGTGGCTTTATTTTTTGGCTTAAAACTCGAGGAGTATTCAGTTTACTTTCAGTTGAGTAATAATTATTCTCTTTCTCCACAGCTGGCCTATGGGCTATTCGATTTGGCTTGGAATTTTTAGAATTTTTTGGTACAGGCTTGATGCGCTCATAACTCGGTTGATACTTAGTAGTCAAACTTTTCTGTGTTTTTTTGTCCCTTTTCTTGTTGCAGACTGGTTTTCCTTGCATTTTTTCTGCCACAATGGGAACTGATTTATCTTTGTAATTAGTTTGTAGAAAAATGGATCTACTCTCTCTTACCAACTTTCTCTCCAGTGGATTGAGGTACCACTTTTCCTTATTGTAAAAAGATACAGTGGACACAGCAGATTTAAATGGTGAGCTGCGATCTGCAGGTGACAATTGATTTTTTTTAGTTTTGAGTGGACTTGAAGTGAAATGGCTTTGTTGAGAGCAAGGCACATTTTCTTCACTTGTCTCACTGCTTTCACAAGTGTATATTTTACCAGGAGATGGAAACAGATCTTCAGCAATGTCCAAAATTAATTTCTTTGATGGAATGTCTGATACTAGGCTATGAAAACAAAGTCCAATGATAAATTCATTATTTTACTTCAAAATTTATGCAAATCTACTTAAAAAAAAAAAAACTCCCTATAGGTGATATAAAAAAGGTACATTTCCACCAAACATACACATGATCTATGTGTAACAGAATTCTCAAATCCTGTCATCAAAGTATTCAAATATCTTCCCAAAGACACCAATAATGTTCATGGAGTCAAATTCAGTTTAAAAAGAAGTTTTGATATACATATATATGTGTGTGTTTCAAAATCTATTTCTGTGTCTAGGCTACATGCAAATTATGGCCCATATATTTTGCTCAATTGGATATAAAAGCCCCCTATACGCTTACCTCGCAAGCACAAGGTCCTGAGTTCAATCCCCCAAAAAAAAGGTGTGGGTATAAAAATCCCCTATAATGATTGATTCTCTGTAATAAGCTGATTTCCTGGGGCTTTTCCTCTAGAATTTTTAAAATCTCCAGCATGACATGTAGCTGAGTTTCACATATAGTAGTCCCCTTTATCCACAGGGGATACCAGTGATGGTGAACCATTTAGAGCCTTCAGTGACACCAACAGCCCATTGCAGCACGTGTGCCATAGATTTGCCACCACTGGAGGATACATTTCAAGGCTTCCAGCAACTACTCTCTGCCCGAAACTGGAGATTCTACTAAAGCCTGTGTATACTATGTTTTCCCCCATACATACATACTTGTGATAAAACTGAGCTTACAAAGGAGGTACAGAAGGGATTAACAATAATATAATGGAACAATTATAACAATATGCTGTAGTAAGTTATGTGAATTGGTCTCTCCCTCGCTCTCAGAATATCTTACCACACTGCACTCATTTTCAGACCACAGTTGACTGCAGGTGAGTAAAACTTTGGAAAGCAAAACTACAGATAAGGAGGATCACTGTGCATAGGCTTTCTAGCATTGCTTGCAGATGAGCATCTGGTCTTTGCAAAGCACTATGTTACGTATTACATGGTGAGTAGAAAAGAACAAGAAAATAAAAGATTTGACATATTTCCTAGCTACAGAAAACAGCATTTTCTTTGCCTCCAAAAGGACTAACTACATAGTTCATTATAAGAGCTTACTGTATTTCCAAATTAGATAGAATAGAGTATTACTGTAACCAAAAGGAGCAGGCTAATAGAAATATGAAAATTTTAGGAAATATATTTTAAGAGAGAACAGAGGTGGATTTTTCTGAAGAGTTTCTATGCATAGGGTGAGACTCACCTGTCACCGTCCAAAAATCGCTGCTTCCTCTTCTTTGGAGTAAAAGCTTCCATCTTCTTAGTTGTATTTCTAAAAGCAATAGGTCATGAATTGTAATAACCAAATTCATCGAATAGATATAAAAATCACTATGTCAAAATTGTACTCTTAAAACTGAAAAGCTTGCAGATAAATGATGGTCCATAAACAGCCAGGAAAAAATATTTTCAAAATGCAGATTATTTTAACAACGCCTTAAACCAAGAATTAGAGAGAATACTACATACACCACAATAGAAGTAACAAGAAATAAAAGCAGGGTGACTTTTTCTTTTAACTGGAAAATCACTCTAGCAAGACAGAAACTACTGACCTCGGAGGGCCGCTGAAAATGGTAACTGTGTAGGTTAAACGGCCCGAAGGGAAAGTCCGCTCCCTTCCCTCATCTGCACCGGGATCCGCTCCGCACCCCGTCCACGTCACGCGCGACTTCAGAGGGAGACAAGCAAGGTCCAGGGGCTGCGGTGATGCAGGGAAGACCCGCCTCGGAGCGGGCGAGGCGGGCGAGCAAAGCGCCGGGGTCCCCTGGCCCCGACCCTGAGGGCACCGCGAAACCCTGGCGCAGGGACAGGGCAACCTGGCCCTGCGGGCGCGGAGCCGCCAGGCCACCCAGTCCAGAGCGAAGGCTTCCCTGCGACACTCACCCCGCGCTCCACTGAGCTCCACGTCTCTTCGGCCTTCCACACGCAGCTCGTCACTCGGAGGGGAAAGCTGCGCCTCAGCGCCCAGGACCGCTCCTCAGCCCAGCCGACGCTCCTGTATTCAAATTAACGCGCGCCAGAAGCGGCCGGCGCTGCTGCGTTCCGATTCGTCGCTCTGCCGCGCTTCCACGGGCTGGCTTGGTGATTGGTCGCTCCCTAGTCCTCGCCCCTCCCACCCAGGAGGCTGTCTCCAACATTCTCCCGCCCTTGAGAGGCCAAAAAGCTCTTCCCTCACGGAAACTACGCCCCCCTTGTTGGCACGCCAAGGCGCCGAGCTCCCTTTTCGCGGCCTTGTTGAGATGCATTCTGGGGATTGTAGTTTTCGGTCCAGTGGAAACCGAGGTCAAATTTCGGGTCCCTTGATGTATGAAGCACTAGTAATCTCTCCAGATTCTCGAAGTACTTATTGTTTAAGTTTGATCATTAGCGTCACCTTTTTAAAAGTTAGTAATACTTCATTGCTTACACTATTTCATTCAAGTTAAATTTTAAAAATTAAATCAAGGCATGAGCATCTGCTACTTAGATGCTTTACATGTTTTATTTCCACTTACTCCTTGCCACAATGTATGAGATATGTATTATTACTCACGTTTCACAGAAAATGAGACCAAAAGACAGAGGGAGGGGGAAGCGAAGAGGGAGGAGAGAGAAAGGAGACATGAAAAGAATTAAGATGTGTTATGTACAAGTACCAACTCCTCATGATGGATATATTCATTATACACATTATATCACATAATATATATATCATAGCATATATACTGCAAAAGTACTAATAAAAATTTTAAAACAAAAAAACAAGGAAAACTGAAGGCCCTAAAAAAATTACTATTTACAGCAGATAGCTAGGTTCTTACTTTTGAAAAAAGGAAAGTTGTTAAAGTACTCATCTGTTGTTAGTTATTGTTATTGTCTTGTGTTACCAGCTCCTGATAGTCTTGGGCACATTTTTAGCTCTAAATAAACTTAATTAAGTCATGCACTCAACTTCACAGGATGAAGTTGGTTGGAATCTAAAAAATGACCAAATTGCAACAAATTTAGTTGTAGATCTTATTGAATTTTATTCCCAATTCATGAATATAAGATGTGTTCTTGAATACTAGATGGAATGAAAGCTCCTATTGAGCAGTAGCAGAATAGTGAGTTTTATAAGGTGGAAACAAGAAAACAACAGTAGGAGGAAAAAAAATGGCTAACATGTTACTTTTTGGGAGGGTTAAAGCAGAAGGGACATCTTTACCATGCATATGCAGGTAGAGGAGGAACTTCTGCTTTTCAGGAAAAATTGTTCTATTTTGGGATCAATCCACTTCCTTAAAGCTTCAGTTTGATTGTGTGGCCTTTGGTATTTGATTTCATTTCATCTGGTCTGATCTCTTCAGGCCTGAGGAAGGAACTCAGTCTAAAACAATGGCTTCCCAGGGGTCAATCTCAGCACTTGCAAGGCTGAGGGAGGAGGATCAACATGAATTCAAGGCGAGCCTGGGCTACATAGTGAGTTCAAAACCAATGTGAACTACATAGCAAGACTTTGTCTCCAAAAAGGAATAAGTGAACAAATAAAACATAATAAAATTATGACTTTTCATAAATTTTGTTTATTGGAAGAAAGTAATCAAGTGTTGTGGTATCCCTGCTTTATGTCAAGATCTCTGAAGTTCAGAGGTTTGGGATTTGCCTAATATCCTAGGTAACAGACAGTTGAACTACCTAAATCCAAACCTCTACAGGTATGCATCTGGTGAATATCAATAACAATTTGTTTGAGTGCTCGGCATATTTTGCACCCTTGATGCCTGTTAACTTATTTAACTGTAGCAAAACATCCTGACTTAGCTACTCTTCCTTTATTTATCAAATGAATGAAGTGAAGTCGAGAATTTAACATGCCCAATATCCACCTTATAAGTGCTGGAGTTAAAATATATTCAAGAAAAAGTTATTATTCTTATTTAAACATGACAAGAAGAATTTATTCAGGACCGTTGGTGATAGGGGTTTTGCAGTAGGGCTAAAGATTGGACTAAACTCCAAACACAGTATGAGTAAGAAGTCATAGCCAAGGGAGAGGGTACAGGTCAGTGTTCAGAAAAATCATTAAGTAGAAACATCTTGGGTAAGGAGGATTCTGGCTAACCTGTTCTAATAGGATCTTGCTGAAGACAGGCCCAGTTGGTCAGAGATCAACAGAGGGATGCTGGAGGATTAAGAACTTAATCAGATATTGACGATGGAGGGTGGCTTGCTTGCTAAACTTGACTTTGTAGAGGTGTTTGTAAAACTGAATTTTACTCAGTGAGGCCTAGCACAAGATTCAGAAGTCTGACTGAAAAGTTTGGCCAAGAATCTTCATCAAATACTGGTGGAATGTGGCTTCATTTAAAATGTAATGAGCTCCTAATAAGTGCTAAGGAACGTGATCAGCCCAAGCTGTCAGAAAAGGGAATGGAACCCATAGAGGGTTGGGGGTAGCCTAGTAAAACCAATTAATAACCCTCAAGATATGACTGTCCAAAATGGAGAAAGTGCAAGTCAGGTCTGCCAATAGCATTTTTCTTTATGCTTTCAAAAACGATGTTCTTTTCCAAGCACTAGGCGTGTTTAGGTTTGGTCTCTTTCTCCCAGTTCTCAAGTTATTAATGTCCCATCCCCGGCAACAGCCTCTTGTCCTGCCAGGATTAAAGATGGCGCCGACGGGATGCGGTTATGACGCAACCCGTTGTGCGCCGGAATTGCGTGGAGGAGTTCTAGGGGGACAGGCGGCAGCTACGCTTGTGAGTGTCCTGAGCTTTGCGATTTGAGTCCTGCTGTTTGCTGCAGGTGTCGCTCACAGCCACCGAGATCATGGTGTTCTACTTCACCAGCAGCAGCGGTGAGTGGGCGCCCTGCTGACAGCAGGCTTTGAAAGCTGGGATTCCCCCCCCCCCGGACCGCCGTAGTGTTTGGACCTCCTTGGCGGCAGGCGCCTCTTCTTGAGCCCTCTCTGTCCTCATGCACATCCGACCTTCCGACTGCCCTGTCGTCCCCGGTGTCCCCTCGCCAGCGCCGCGGGGAGCGGAGAGGCCATGCCCCTGGTGTCCTTGCATCCAGAAATCATTCTTATTCCGAGTCTGAAATACCTCCCCACGTTCCCAGGACCTAGGGAGTTTGAGGGCTCCTTCACCTCCCACCCCCATCGCAAGTTTTCTCCCCCCTCCGGCGGCCTTAATTTTGGCTGCACCCTGGAAATTATCCCCTTTGAAAAGGAGACCCCTGCCAAAAACTTTGTTTCACAGGGAGCGCACTTTACCCTTCCATGAAGGAATTTGGCTGCAAGTGACAAGTGAGAGCAGTAGGAAGACTCTGGACAGTCGTTAGAGCCACACACTAGATAAATAGAGTTGATGTTCCAGATCTTGGAAGGGACGCGTGGTTATACTTCGGATTTGATTTTGGCAGGCAAGGAAAGGGTGCTTTTAGTTTGAGGAGGGGTTGTGTCTCCATTTAGTTTCTCTGCCCAGGTACTGGGATTACAGGCGTGCACCACCACACCAGGCAGTCCTGCTCTGTTAATGTAGCTCTGCTTTATGTTTTCCAAGATGCTTTTCCTGACCTAAACAATCCGCACCAGGATTGTTTAAGTATAGTTCTTGCGGAACCCTCTTAGGATCCCAAGTGTACCTCTAGTACTGCACGTATCACACTGTATTAAACATTATCTGCTTGAACTACAGTGTAAGACCCTTGAGGACAAGCACTCTTGTGTTTCCTTGGCCTAGTGCCTGACTCATAATAATTCTCAGTGATTGTTTGCTGAATAAACAAATGGCTTTTTGAATACTTTTTTTTTTTTTTTTTTGTCACCGGGGATCGAACTCGGTTTCTTGGGCTTGCGCAGCAGGGGGCGAAACCACTGAGCTAAATCCCCGGCTGTTTTTTTGTACGAATGACATTTTATAACTTACCCTCTATTGATACCCCTTATGTTTGCTTGTAAAAGGTGAGCTTTAAGTAGAACTCGCACTGTGTCGTTTTGTAGGTTTGAATAAGGTGCTACTGTTTATTTATTTCGTGATACTGAGGATTGAACCCAGGCCCTTTGCACTGAGCTACACCCCTAGCCCTTTTTTATTTTTTATTTTGAGACTGGCTCTCACTGCTTCATTAAGTTGCCCAGGCTGGACTCGAACTTGTGATCATCCTGCCTCAGCCTCCCAGAGTGCTGGCATTGTAGGGTGATACTTTCTTTTTAGAGATGATAAAACTGAAGTTCAGGAAACTTGTAACTTCTAGACCTCGGCTCTCCCACCCCTGCACCTTATTGCATCAATATATTTTCTCATAGTTTAGACTTCCATAGCGTGGCAGATGCTGTTTCTTTGTGTGTATGGCTTTGGTTCTTTGTTTGTTTGGGGATTTTTTTTTTGCCTTTTGAGACAAGATCTCACTACGAAGTTTAGGCTGGCCTTGAACTTGCAGCAATCCTCCCACCTCAGCTTCCCGAGTGCTGGGATTACACTGTGCATCCCCCACACTTGGCTTTGATTTGTTGTTGCTTTTTAAAAACCCAGATTATTATTTCAAACCAACAACAACAAAAAACTAGCCTGAACAATTATACACCCTTTCCAGTGTTACAGGCCCCTAAGCATTTTCCTCCTTCTGCTTCCTTTAGAGTACAACCATACTCTTAGTAGCCTCTCCTCCCATGGAGTCCCCAACAACATAGATAACTGTTCCAGACCCACAGTGGAATGACAATACAGGCAGGGAATATAGGTTCAAACATGTTAGTAGCTTTATTCCCCTTAAAAGTGTCCCAAATTCTCTAACTGGTAATCATGCTTCCACACGTGCCCTTACTCAGACAAATACTCAGTAATCTGTGGGTCCTGTTTTCTCATGGGCTTGCTTTATGCTCAGAACTCCAACCTTTTTGAAAACATACTTGGCCTGTAAGTCTAATAAAATTGCATGTATGTAGCAGATCTTTTAAAATTGCCAAGTTGGAAAAATTCTAACCTTCTGTAAAACATAATAAAACTTCCCATGTTGGCAGTAAGAAGAAACGTGAACATACACAATGTTCAGAAATGAGTTGCTATGAATGGCCAAG